GAGGGGAGATAGCCATTGGAAGTAAATTCACTATTAAATTATCTTAATTTTGTATTCTTGCACTGATTTAAATCAATTAATTTTTCAAATTGAATCTGATTTAAGCGTAATTTCAAAATGGTTTACAATTAATGACTTAAATTTAAATCTAAATAAAACTAAATATATTTATTTCAGCTTAAGAAAATCAGAATTTAACTTAAATTTAAAATTTCACTCTCTCTCCTGCAAAAGTACTAATGAAAATTGTCAATGCTATATTCTACAATCTGTAAATAATATCAAATATTTAGGACTACATATCGATTCTAATTTGAAATGGAAAACACATATTAACAATTTAGTTAAAAAATTGCGTTTTGTTTTTGTTAAATTTTATCACCTTAAGAATAAAATTAATTTTAATTTTGTGAAAGCACTCTATTACTCCTGGTTTTATTCTTTAATTAATTATGGTGCAATAATATATGGCGGTGAATATAAAACTAATTTACTTCCTTTAATATAAATTCAGAATAAATGCTTCAAGATTATTAATTCTCTAAATATAAATAATTCAAGTATAACTACTACCAATATATATACAAGAATTAACCTATTACCATTTCGCCATAATGTATTTTTTCGTATTTTACTCTATTTACACAACAATAAATTAATATGCAAATTAAAAACTAATGTGTCTGAAAGGAGACCAACTGAAATATATGAGGTTCCCCACTTTACAAAAGAAATTTCACGAAGACAGTTTTTTTTACTTAGCACCTAAATTATATAATAAATTACCATTTCAGTTACAAAACATCCAAATATATTCTTCTTTTAAGCGTGCTTTATTTCAATTTGTGATGAACATTGACGATTTAGATCTCTATTTTTCACTTTAAAGGAAGCATTTGATTTTTTATACCAGTCTTGTTTGTGCCAATCCAAATGAATTTCTTATGTTGCCTTTGTTATGTTATTTTGTTATTTTTTTTATATAGTTTCATGCATTTTTTTTTTGTTTTCTATTATTACAGTGTTCAACAATATATGACGTCTTATGATGAGCAAAATAATTTATAATTGTAATACCCCCCCTTTTTTTTCTTCTTTTAATTTCTATTTTAAATTTATTGTATTACTTTTCTTTGTCATATGAGATGAGCAAAATAATTTATAATTGTAATACCCCCCCCCCTTTTTTTCTTTTAATTTCTATTTTAAATTTATTGTATTACTTTTCTTTGTCGCCTGGACAGGATTTTCCTCTTGACGACGAATATATATTCTTTGTATTTATGTGTTTTTGTTCCCAATAAAGTTATACTTGTTTGTTTAAAAAAAAAAATTTAAATGAGTCAGAAAAATAAACAGTTTTGGCAGTTACCAAAAACACTAACGACTTGGATATTTGAACTGTTTGGTCAAGATTGGTGCATCCCTGCCAGCTTCCTCAAAAATAAGAGCTGTTGGAATACTCGTTAGAAGAACAATTAGAGGAGAAAGAGATCACTGAACAGTTTGGTAGCGAGAAGCCGAAAGATGTGGATATTTGAGGGCTTCCTGAACTTTTTTCAAAAAATAAAAATGTGTTTTAAATTTTGCTTTTGAATTTAAATAATTTCTTTAAATGTTAAATAAATTTTGATTTTTCTTAAATACTTCCTCTTGTTGGTTATGCGACACGATGTTTTATACTCATTTGCTGTAATTGAAGGTCCAAGTCAATCCGGTCCCCTTCTACAACATCACAGAGTGTGTGCTTTTTTCCATAGTGGTTACGCTACAGATACAGAAGTTCTTGGTTTGAGCCTCAGGCCAAAAGCACCACTCACACAATCTTCAACAATGGTGACTTGGATCTGTAGAATTTTGCTACCGATCCAGAAGTTCTTGGTTTGATCCTCTAGGTTTGAATCTAAGGCCAAAAGCAACACCCACACACTCTTCTACAATGGTGACTTGGATCTGTAGAATTTTGCAACAGATCCAGAAGTTCTTGGTTTGATCCTCTAGGTCTAAACCTAAGGCTAAAAGCACCACTCACAGATTCTTCTACAATTGTGACCAGGGATGACAACATGCAATTATCTCAATCCTAAGTTTATGTTTTGACGTACAATTATTTCTTTAGTAAATTTGATTTAAAGTGATTTTCCACACCACTACATGTAAATAATTCTAAGTTTATGTGAGACACCACTTTATTCTAGTTCTCTTGTGATCGTGATGAGGCTTTAAAAATGTTGGTTAAAATTAATAAAAATTACAAAAGCTTTAGTTATTAACTGTTAACCGCAAAAATATTTTGCAAAAAATTTAGTAGTTGGCAGCCTGTATGTGTTTATGTATCTATCTGACTTTGAGCCCAGAAATGACTAACTCCTCTACAGGACATTATCAGAAGTGTGATTACTTTAAAAAGATGCAATAGAGCTAAAATGCATTAGTTCTTGCACTTTTTTATACAGGAATTTATATTAATATAGGGTAAATCCATGATTTCCTATGATTTACATGATTTAATACATAATACATTATTTCACAATAATATCAACACAAACGCAACAACAGTGAGAAACTAGCTCCCACACTGAATTAATTGAAATTGCAATAAAGAAGACACGTTAATGGCTTTTACTTTAAATAGGTAATATTTTTTTTTAAAAATGTAAAAAATCCAAAATAATGTTAAATTATGATAAATAACTAATTAAAATGAAATTAATTAAGAAGCAAACAAAATAGTGTTCCCCTGCGACTAACAGATCGGAATATCAACAATTGATAACTATGTAAATTGATTGTAACTTATTTTAAACAACATTAAGATTAAATAGCACTTCAAAATTGATAATATTGATTGTAAATGGAACCTAAATACAGAATGAAACTAATAACTTCCGTGCTATATCAATTAAAATTGCACTAATGAAAAAAGAAAAAAAAATGTTAATGGCTTTCACTTTGAACAAGTAAAATAAAAACAGCAAAATAAGTTTAAATTATATTTAATAAGTAATTAGACTGAAATGATTTAAAAAACAATATGAGATAGTGTTATAAATTGAATCGTTATAAATTGAGTGTTAATTTTAAAGCATTTTTTACTGAAAATCATGTTTTCCCATGACAAATTTCAGTCAAGGGCAAAATTCTTGACTTTCTAGGTGATCAGATATCCTGTTAACAGTTTTGTTTTTACATTATACACTTTATCATCTCTCTAAAACGAAAATAGTAAACAAATAATAATATAACAGGGTATATTTGTAGTAACATAAGAATAACTTTTCTAATGTGTGAAATGCGTAGGTAATTATATTTGAAAAGTTAGCTATTGGTAGATCCTATATTATTTTTTAAGCTATAATTCTAAAAAAAAAGAACAAAAATTCCTTAAAAATGCTTCTTTGGAATAGCTATTGAAAAGACAAGAAACTCAGCAAAGGAATTTTTTGTGATCACATTTAGGTACAGATTAGTTTTGCTTATAACCAAAAAATAACTAATAAATATTTATAAACTTCTATATAATGAAAACTGATTTTAAAGAATGACAATGTGAAAGTGAATAAGTATATAAAATTGCTTACGCAAATGGAATGATAGTTTGTAGAGACCAATCTATTTTTAAAAAATGTAAAAAATTAAGAATGTGAAGTTATTCAAAAATTTGTTAATTGCTTTTAGATTTGGCTCTAAATTATCTAAAATTATTTTCATGGTTTCAGATTAACACTCTGAAATGATACCAACACTTCAAAATAAACCAACCAACTAATATACAAAGCAAATATATTAATACCAAAATATACCAAATGTGTTATATGATGACTTCAAAAAGTTATAAACCCCTATTTATCATATTTATTATCCAGCAGTAAATGAAATTTTCTTAAAGCATCAATAAAGTTACATTTATCATAAAAGAATCGAAATTTTGAAAATGATATTGGTAGTTATTTGTTTTGACGCTAATGAATCATTAACAAATTTAATTTAAATTTAGCTTATTTAAGATGCAAAAGAGTATTTTAAATATTATCATTTAAACATACAATAAAATATTTAAATGAAAAAATTTAACATGCTACCATAAAAAATAATTATATTTTTAAACGTTAAGTCATTTTCAAATTTGTTAAATTTATTTATCAAAATATTAGTTATCACTGCCAATCTGGTTACAACTTTTTTGCAACTTCTAAAGAGAAAGTAATAAATTTATTTAATTATTTCATAATAATCAACATACAGTTAACCAAATAATTAGGTCAATTTATTTGAACATTAATTAAATGTAAGAAAAAGTTAAATTAATTATAATTATTTAATGAAAATAAACTTAGGGTTCGATATTTTAATAATAAACATGAACCAAAACTAAACAGCACTCAGCCAATATTTAATTTCTTTAATCAGTATTTTAGCCTATGTTCTAGTTTCAATTGTTTCACTGTTTTATATTAGGTTTTGATGATTTTTTAAAACTAAATGATGACTATAATAAAAAATTGGCAAAAAATTTTATTATAAAAGTTTAAATTTAATGTTCACTATTAAGGATGATAGTAGTCAATAAATAAAAAGAAGTTAAAGAAGAGGTTAAAAAGAATTTTAAAAAAATTTATATTAAACAATTTTTCAAAAAGTAAGAGATTTAAAAAAAAATGTTTAACAAAATATAAAATGCATACATTAACTTTATTTTACTTTTTCAAAAGGTAAATTTTTCTCACTTATTAGAATATGACAATAAAAACAATTAACGCCTTAAAACTGATTAACTAAACAACAGTACAAAAACTATAATAAATGGATTTGAACTTCGAAAAATCTTTTTTTTAGTAATTTTTGTCTCCTCTCTTGAATTTCCGATTTACTTTTGATTACGTAACGTTTCAATAATTTGGGAACATAATTTTTTTATGTATGTTCTAGAAAAAATATCTAGGATTGCTACAAGTTACACCAAAAATGAACTTATTAAGTAGGAAGGGTAAACAACTTACCCATGATGAGGTTTATCGACTGATTCCGACAAATTCAACATATTTTGAAAAACTATATCTGATGGTTCTTTCAAATGATCAAATCCTCTGCTTCCTAAATAAATAAAAAGAAATATGTCATTAAATATTCTATCAAAAACCAAGATTTTGACGTAAATTTTTGTTGATGTTCTTATAATCATATGTTTGTTTAAATTTTTTAATGTTAAAATTTTTAAACCAACCATAACAGAAAAAATTATACTATAATCAATATTCAACACACAAACCTGTTAAAAGGATTAAAATAATAATTTTTCAGGCTTCTAAAAAAAATCAAAACTAAATTTAAATATTGTATTTGTTTACAAACAATTGGGATTTTTTTATGTTTAATTTGTTATACTGTGTATAAAACACTTAAAATCACCTATAGAAAAATACTAGTTAACTTCTATCAAACTACTCTCATTATATTTCAAGAACATCAATGTTACATTACTATAGAACATTCTAAAAAATGAAATAAAACTCCTACACTATAAACTACGAGGGCGTGGCATAAAAATTGACCAATCAAAACACATACAAGTAAGCCAATAATAAACGTTTACTTTTTACTGAGGGAAATTGATCAGAAGTAGAGGCAAAAAGCAAATATTTGGGATAGTTTATTTAGTAAAGAATAAATGGAAAAATAGAAAACATTTTTGAAGTATTTAAAATAATTGCAAATAGAGAGTTTCGATTAAATATTAAATTCAGCATACATTTAATCTCCAATAAAGCATTTTTTAATAATTGTGTACTTAAAATGTCAGTGGATTGGATTGATTATAACAGCAAGAAACAATTTAACTATCAGAGCAATTAATTTGATAGTTTAAATATCTAACTTGATTTTAGACAGAGTTTGATTCCAACTTATACTTCATTAAAATTTTCACCAAATTCAAGTGAAGTATTAATGGCCTATTTGCATTAGCTTTTTAACAAACATTGTTATTTTTAATAATCATTGTCATTAATTGAATTATTAATTAACTCAAAATTAATTAGTAAAAAAATTTCAATTAACATAATATTTTTTACTAATTAAAATTTTTAAATAATGATTTAAATAGCAGTTTACGAAATATTTGTTTAAGTTATTTTCATCAGATCAAAGGCTACATTTCACCTTTAACACTTAACCTTTACCTATCCAAAGTCATAGTCTCAGTGTTAACCCCCCCCCCCCCCCCAAAAAAAAAANAAATTTCAGAGAGTAATTTCATTCTGCTACAAATTTTTGAGGGAAATATAAAATAGATGAATGAATTTCAAAATGGGGATAATTATCACTATTTTACAACACAGATTATATTATAACTAACAGATAAATTACACAAAGTATGTAAATACTCAAATTGATATTAAATTGACTGTTGATTAGATATTAAAGAAAAACCTATTTTTTAACTATTTAGGGTTTAATTAGATGTTGTAATGGATAGTTAATTCCTAGCAACATATGGTGCTACCTCTCTATCCGTAAAAACAATAACAATAGTCTTCGTCTTTTTTCCCCCTAAGTGAGATGACACAAGATGAGCTACCCGAACCTTCCTGGTTCCCGTTTCACCCCAATCAGTTTAATGGGTAAAACTTTAAATTACTTTCTATTTTAGTCAATGCTATGCTGTTACTCTTTATTGTTAAATGGATGTGTGAACGTATAATTAAAATACTGAGCTCTTTGTGATGGTGTTTCCTTCCATCCTGTTGTGTCTTTACAATGCCCTTTTCCTATTTATGCTCTTTCCTTTCTACTTAATAATAAATTTACAAGGAGTATCTTTTCACCAGATAAAATTGTTGAGAAGTAAATCTAAAATCCCATATGTAAAATATGCATCAAGATGCATATTGATGAACTTTGTTTCCAATGCTATGCAAAACTTAAACATAATGTTAATCAAACTATTGAAATCAAACGGAACTAAGCGGCAATGTAGATTTAAATATATGCTAAAAGTAGAAAACATACAAAATAGGAGAAAAGATCACTAAGTTCCCAGCTACCCACAAAAAAACCAATATTTACCCACAAAAAAACTAGTGTCTTGAAAGTAGTTCGTGTCTATATATATTGTAAAACAATATATATATAAAAAAAATTAAAAGATAATTTTTAAAGTTTGCTCAAACTTTTACAAAAATATATCATTTTTATTAATGTGATTAGGAGTTCCAGGCATATAGTTGAATAGGGTAAGTCTAAACTATGAACATTAAACTTATACATTTTTAGATCAATAAAATGAACTTTTGGGTTCAATCGGAATCAAAGTTGATTTCTGTGGTCTCTTAATATTAAAAATTAACAAAATAAGTATTAATTAAATCTTTAATTTTCGAATTCTCATGATTTATATGTTTTATTAATTATTTGTTCCGGAGAAGAAAACAAAAAGCACAAAGTATTCAACAACATGCCATAGCCTTTTCAGAAAATATTAGAAAAAGCTTTTCATTTTTTGAAGTTTAATATAATTAAAAAGTTTAATTTATAAAGAAAAACTAATGGACACTGTCCCTACTTCCCTTGTGCACCAAATACCTGAATAGCTCATCAATCACTTTTGTTTTTTGATGATAAATTGGGGCATCAAAATTAAAAATTATTCAAATAAAAGATTGAAAAATTTGCTAATGTGTTAACACAAATATGGGTCCACAGTTTTTTGATTCTAATGGGATAAAATTTAAACCTAATATTTTTGCTCTCCTATCATTGCAACTTCATTTTTAAACATGCTTTTTAAATTCTAATTTTATTTAGTTATTATATTATCATTTTTTTTTACAAGCTTATTTAGCATTTGTGTAAAATGGCAATCAAAATGATGGTTTACAATTTTAAATGAATATTTGATATTCATTATTTAAATTGCACATTGCTGAACAAAGATTTCATAAAATTAACTACAAAAGTAAATGCCACTTAATAAAAAAATAAAACTTATTTAGTCTTTAGTAATAAGAAAACTGTAACTAAATATATGCAGCATAAAATGTTGCACAAAGAGATCATACATAATAACTATAAAAATAAAGATTTCCTCTTATAATATAACAAAACATATATATTTATGCTTACCATCTTTTAGTGTGAATGAATCACTAGCATTTAATGCATTTTCTGCATTCATTTCCTCATTGAGTCTTTTTGCCTTCTCAACTATAAAATAATTTAAAACCATAAGTATTTCAAAACTGGATTTATGATGACAAGTCAAAAACATTCAATAAATATCTATGGAGTTTCCCATAGGTCTTTGGTAAATTTGCATTAATGCTAGTGAGTGTTTCCTTTTTTCAGATAACACTAAGAGATCTGATAGCTTAATATTCTCACACTTCCTTTAAAAAAATATCTTGTGGCGGTTACAATAAGTATTAAAATGCTAATGTAATGCTTGTTTTGTTTTGTCGCAACTTTTTAAAGTAATAAGACCTGTGGAATGCCCCTTTACTTTTTTCTAATTATATACAACTTATATGTCTGATCAAATGATTATTTTAAGTAATAAAAAATTCACATTAATTTTCAGAGCATTGAACTCTTAAACCCTTTTGTATTCATATGAAATTTGCCTCAATTTCCACATATATCATGTTATTCCTATATACATCATGTCATTCATAAATTTTTGATATATTACTAATTGATGATGCATACTAGTTATAATAATTATAAATATTTTTTTTAAATATCAGAACACATAATGCAGGTAGAAAATTTAATATAATATTAACTTAATTTTGTTATGCTTACAAACCAATTTGCTACTATATCTCTTAATAGTTGATCCATGTTGTCAACTTACCAAAGGGTGTTGGTTTAATTTTTAATACTATTTATCCGATTCAGTAAAATTCTGATGCATAATAGTATAAAAAAGTTTCTAAAAAAATATTTAATTGGTCAACTTATAAAGGATTTAGAACAAAGGTCTCAGAGCCAAAATTTTCAACAAAAATAAGCTCTTTTTAAGCACTTTAAAATCCTAATTAAGATATGCACACTAATAAAAATTTGTTTATCTTATTGTGGAAAGTTTTACAGAAAAATATATTAACAAAATGCAAAATAATTTTCAGACTTTACATGATCATGATAAAATTACTAGTTTCTGAGAAAAAAAACTCTTTTCTTGATAACATTAGCTGCCATAAAAACAATTTATTCACAATTTTAAATATATTCAATATTGAGTGGTTCATTCTATTTTACAATTCTATTATGCAATTAATTTAACTATTATTTAAAAATGTTATCAAGTGTGTTTTTTTAGTTATAAATAAAAGTTATTTATAAAAGCATATTCAACAAAACATTAACATTATAATATAGTATTTTTCATCTATGCTATGTGCATTAATGACAAAAGCTACGTTTGGTCTCTTTAAACAAACTCATTTTTAAAAAAAAATAGAAGCTGCATTGCTTCTAATAATTATTTATACTATATAGAATTGATGTGATTATCGCCATTGTTACACATTATAAAATCTTTAAATATACTCACTGGCAGCAGGAACTGGTTGACTGGGTTTTCTTGTTTTAGCTATTATATTTTCCACGATTCCAGATTTTCGATCTTTTCGAGTTCGTTCTTTGGTTCTTTCTTTTTTATTCCTTAGAGCACCAATGCAGTACTCTTCAACTACTTTAATGCAAGATTTATGAATATTCATTTCACAATCTAGATGGAAGTAAAACAAAAATTATCAAAAGCCCTAATTAAACAGATAATGAGAATTCATCTTTTCAGAAATAGACTTATATAAAAGATAAAAAAATAAAGATCAAATAATAGTGAATATTCTGACAAAAATATTCCCCACAAGATATTTGTTTAATTTTTGCAAGCATCAACTTAATAGTAAATGATTTTTATTTTAATAACAATAATTATTTTCAGAAAAAAGAGTGTTTGATACCAGCACTACTCAAAAAAATAATAATAAACTTGACATTAATTGGGTTAGAATGATATTAAAATTAGAAGTAAAACAAACTTTACATCTACAAAAGATGTGAGAAATACTCCAAAATTCTAAACATTTGGATACAACTATGAATAAGAAAAGCTGCAAAATGTCAAGCATGCACCTTTGTAGAACTAATTTTGTAAGGAAATGTAGAACTTATAACTGAAAAATTATGATTAATTAAACTGCAAATTAGCAGTCTTATAGTACAAGACTGTCAGAAAGTTAACCTTGAAAAACTCATTTAAGTTTAAGCATTGACCCTCTTTTTCCTCTCAATACATTTTCACACAAACTTCATTTAAATAAATTTAAAAATACAATAATTGGCTACAAACTATGTACTTTTAGGTACCATATGGCATATAGATATGGATTTTTATAATTTTTAAGTCATAAATTTGTGAAACTAAACAATACTGCTTGTGCTTCACTCAAAGATATAAAAAACTTTTAGTAAGCTTAAACTTCATTGTACTAAACAAACATAAAAATTCTTCAAAGAAAACATACTTTGACACTGATAACCTTGATGACCAACGCCCCATATTATGAGCTGGCAATGATTGCAATATGTTACACAGTAATAATGTTCAGGAACAAAATGATGACCTTGCATAAGAATCACCTGCAAAAAAATAAATAAATAAATAATAATCCATTTATGCATTAAATGCAAACTATACCAAAAGATCTAACAATTTGGGGGGGGGGAATCACACAATGACAGGTTTGCAATCTACTTTCCAAACCAACTTACATTAAAATGATACAAAATCTTTTTTAGTTAATTAAACTTTTAGTTCAAAGCCAGAAGAAATACTACCTTTTATCTTAAAATTTTTTGCTACATTTTCTACATTTGTAGTAAAAATAAAAAATTGCTACAAAATTTTTCTTTCTTTCATTTAAGATCACAAAAATTTTATGGGCTGAGTCAGCAGTCACTAAGTAGCGGTTTGCAAGTCACTGATGGTAGGTTAAAGAAATGATTACGTTCACAAAAGCACTATTGAGGAACAAGTATTTTTTGCTTTGATCTTAGTGAAATTTCATGACTTCACGGCTTTCCCACTGACTTGAAGTTATGAAAACCTGCTGATTGAATATTAATTTTATTATTATTTTAATTGATTATAATCATCGTTAGACTTTTCTCAAATTTGGTTAATTACTATATTAATATAGAAATTTCATAAAAAATATAGCGTTTTCTTTTGTAAACTTGCTTGCTACATCAAATAACTATTTAACTGGAACAATTTTCAAAAATCGCTGAAACACTTCAATTTTGCTTTTGAAGGGATACATTAAAAAAAAAAACACTAAAATCAATTGGTGAACTTTCACCCTCAAAACAAATTTGGTGGTGATCCCCAAGATTAAATATTTTCTGCTAAGTAGTCTTGGAGAATTAAACAAATGAGGATTAGCAAATGTTAGACTAAACAACAACAAAGTGTAGATAATTAACACATTACAAGTATGTTAAAGTTACCTTTTTGTTTCTTTTCAAAAGAGATGTAATAAAAGACTGTTCTTTCCCTACAAATGTTGGACATTTTTCAATAATACTTGCATATTGTTGGTTTTTAACTCCAAACTGCTTTAGAATAGTAGCTAATGCATAAGTTTTAGCAACACTACGATCATCTACACCCTCCAAGTCCTCCCTGAAAAATAAAAATTAATTATATGATTAAATAAATACATAAATAAAAATAAAGAAGCCATATCAAATAGCCTGAACAAAATTTTTTAGCTTTTTCCAGACTGATTTTTATTTAATTTCTCTTAGTTTTGTAACCATTAGCATAAATTTATTACTTATTTGGTATTTTATTTTCATGAATAAAATATATTAATAAACATATAATTATGAATTATATCTTCAAAAAATTGAAAATATGATTAAGTAATTTCAAAGAATTTCATTCGTAGATATAATATTAATAAAGTCTCTTTTCCAGCAATGATTCAGAAATATGTAAACTCCTTTTCAAAATATAAACAAAACCTCGGCTTAAATAAATTCAAGCAATTTTACCTACATTAAAGAATTTTTCAGTAACTTTAAAGCAAACAATTTTAATATTAAATATTCAGAAAAACAGTATTTGCAAACAAGAAGTGCTAGTAAAAAAGCAAACTTAAATTTAAGCATTTCTTTAAAATAAAAAAACAAACAAAATTGCAAGTAAAGAAAAATTTATGCATTTTTACTATTGCACACACTTTTAATTTTAAAACAGTTGAATCATTGATACAGAATTAGCACATAGTCATATTTGTAAGAATTTTTCGTAAACTAATTAAAATAATTTTACTTAAAATTAATGCTAAGAAAATCAACCTATTGCTTAATATTAACTTTCTTATTTACTTACGAGAAATTTTCTAAACAAGGGCAGAGAAGTTGTTCAATTATCTTCTGTTCCTTGTTCTTATCATGCATTGCCTCTTCTAATTGGTAGTCAGGTGGACCAAAGATATTTGCCAGTCCTAAAGCAGGAAATATATGTATGAATATGAAATTGTTTAAAAAGAAACTTATTACCCACTTAAGAACTTTTAAAACCTTTTAAATAAAAAATATGTGCTTTAAATATTTCTCATTACACAAAAATTTATACATTTTTTGACAATACAATTTTATCCGTATTAAAAATAGAAAAGTAAAAAAAAATGCTAAGCCTGTGCCATATATGGATATTATTTAGGGTCATATTTTGTATCTAATAACATTTAATTTTATTTAGCACTATTCTCATTAAACTGTAGAGACTATAAATGATCCTCCAAGAATGCTATAGATATAAATGATTTTAATTTACGATGATTGTGATAAGTACCACAAGGGTTATATAATTTAAAGCATTGAAATGAAGATATAATGTTTTTGAAAAAAAGATTGATAAAAAAAAGATTGTGATTTAATAGGATGATTGTGACTTGAAAAGAAACAAAAAAAAGAAGAACAAGAAGCTAAATATCATATGTACTGCAAGGATTATCCAATTCTAAACATTGAAATAGAGATGGAAATTTTTATAAAAAAAAAAACAATCACAATCATTTTTAATGTTTTTCACCTTCTATTAACATATAAGTAAGCCTAAAATTTATCATTTTTCAAAACATTTAAAACTAAGCCAAGAATCTATCAGTCAGGTAAAGCACATTTTTTGATGCAGAGGAAATATAAAATTTTGACGGCTACATAGAACCTTCATGCCTTAACCTCTCACAATATTCAATATGGTATTGAAATAACAAGTAAGAAAATTTATTTTTAGCTTGGCCTGCATTTAAATACATAACATGATTATTAGGTATTTTGAACAATTTATAAGTTATGTTAGCCAAAATAGTTTTTAAATCAAACTCATCAAACCAAAAGCTAAAGCATTCATTCAATTACCACTTTAAATATTTTTGAAATATATCTGAGTAAAGGCAACAGCATTAATTGAAAAGTAATTTTTCGTTCTCTTTGCTAACAATATCAATTCAGTGACCTGCTAGCTTACTTTAATAATATTCAAGCATTATAATGAATACTATCCACTACATAAAATTTTACATATATGCTTTAAAATAAATCACACTTTCTTCAACAGTAAATTTGTGAAAAGAAAATTTTTTTTAAAAATCATAGTTTAAATTTTCAATAGACAAGTTAAATAACATAAATTGCAAACTGAAAAATGTTTAAAAATTATTTAACAATATTATTTAAATTTAAGAGATATTGATTTTTTTAAAATTTATTTAATATATATTTTGTAAATGCATAGTTACCAATTTATATAGACATTTGGAAGATTTTACAAAGTGATAGTAAAAAGTAGTGGTGGAAGAGTTTTTAAAAACTAAGCATATGTGTGCAATATTTAAAAACATAGTTATTTTTAACTAATAGATATTGTTTAATGATTGACTTATCATGATGAGTTAAACAGCTCAGAGTTATATCCTAAATGTTGCCACCAATTGGAAAATTTGAGCCCAACAACAGTACAAGTTGATAGCTAAGTAAATTATAAGTAATAAAACTGAAAAGAAAAAAACACAGTTTTCTTAGAAATGAAAATAATTAGAATTTACCCATTGTTCGTTTGTTTCTAAAATCTGCAAGGAAATCATTCAATTCCTCTTTGGCTTTTTTACGAGCTTTTCTAAATACTGTTCTCAAAGTTTCCTCTTTGTCTATGCTATTTAAGAGCACGTCATCTAAATTTAGAAACAAAAGAATGTTATTTATAATCTAAACCAGCAAGATATTAAATTAATTTACTTTCATTAACTAAACTGAAACTATTTATCAGAAAATAATTCCTACCCACCTCAAGTGTAAAATTACAAATCCACAATAATCTCAAGCAGTATTAATAATGTTTTTTCTAAGAAATTATTCATTTAATGGAATTCATTATTATCAATAGTGAATTCCATTAAATGCATAATATTTTAAAAATGAATATTTTATTAATTTTTTATTTTTTAAAATTAATATTTTAAAAAATAAAAATAAATAAAAAATAAAATTATAGATAGATAAAAGCAAACATTTATCTTGAGCAAAATTAGAATTTTGTAAGTTTTGCTAATCAACAGTTGTAGTATTTTACACCAAAAAATCCAAATAACTGAAAACTACAAAATTGACTTAACGTATTATTTCACTATGAAGCCAACAATATTATATTGATTCAAAAAATTCAAATATCTTTCTGAACTTAACTATTGGATAAAGTTTTATTAAAAACAGAAGTTACTAGAATCCAATTTAGTTTTTTTGAAGAAAAAAAATTAAATTTAAACCTAAAAGATTTTTTTAAAAAGCCTTCTCCAATTTTTTAAACAAGAAGTAGTAAAATAATTTTCTCTTGAGAAAGTTTGTTTATTTTTAGGTAATGCAACTACAAATAATTTTATCCAGCTTATTATTTACCAATAAAATTTATAATGAAAATTTTAGGGGGGGGGGGGAATATTACAAATTAAGCCAAATCAAATAAGTTCAGTATATACATTTTACTATTAAAACTTATTGTAGAGAAACAGATTAATATACAGAACCCGTTATCCGGAAATCAGAAAACCGGAAGACCAAAAAACCGGAACGAAACTCGGTAAATTTTCCCGCAATTTTTAAAAAAAAAATAATTTTTTCTCACAAGATTTTAGGATTTTTCTTTCTTTTTTGAAAGATGTTTACCATACCATCATTTTAGAAATAATCATTACTGTATTACTTCATCGTTTTTTCTTCTTTTTAAGATTATTTCCTAATATTTGATTTTTTTTTAGTTGGGTTTAACAATAAAAAAACGGCTTTTTGTAGCGATTCAGAAAACCGGAAAAATCAGTTATCCGGAATAGCGATGGTCCCGATCGTTCCGGATAATCGGTTCCCTACTGTAGTATAAAATTTGACTTTTAAAACTGAACAAAAATTTTTCAGTAATAATTAAATTAAGTAAAAATAAACAATCAAATTATTTATCAACAAAATTATCATCAAGGCAATCAGTACCATACTTCTAAATTTCTAAAAAAATTTAATTTTATTTGAAGGCTTCATTATGACAACACAACAAAAAAATGCTAAGTCTAAAAAAGTATAGGCTTAAAGTTTATTTAACATTATTTACACATATAGAGCATTATTAAAATATACAAAATAAAAAATTATAATTTATTATAAGAATTATTATCATTAAGTTTTTAAAAATACATTAGAATAATATTAGATTTATAAATAGTTTTCTAATGTAATATTGATACTTAAGTGTAAAACAAGTACAGGGTTCCGACTCAATTTCAGAAAAAAAAATATCAGATAAATTTCAATAAAAATTAGGACCATAATTTATTGATACAATGCAATTTTTAACAGAAAACTTAGATTTTTTTAAAATTTATAATGCCAAATATTAGATTTTATGACTAAAAAAAAAATACTATTGAATGACGATGAAAACATGGCAGTTTTACTAAAATAAGAAATAGTTACAACAAATGTTTTTAATAGATATTAGAATTATTTCATTCGAATTTCAAAAACTGATTACTGTTACTAGCGATTCTAAGATTGGTTAATTTCCAAGTATGGTGTAGGAACTTTCTAGGTCTCTGTAAAAAATTGCCTCATTCTCTGACTATTCCTTGCTTTTTAGAATCAAAATAAAATTCCCTGACAATTCAAGCTTTCCCCCGTTCTTCCTGACTCCCTAAAAAGTTTTAATACAATTATAAAACTTAACTCACCTATTTCATGTAAAATAGTCTCGTCAACCAGCGACACTTTCAAAGGCTAAAATGGATTTATTAAAATTAAAAAGAATACATTTATTTTCCGAACAAAATGAAAAACAAAAAGTTTTATAAATTTCTCAACTTACTGCTCCAGGCACTAAAAAACTTGAGTGTATTTCATATGCCCATTTTTTCATATCTTTGCCAGTCCCTTGTTCATATAACTCAGAAATTAAATAAAAAAACTGAAAAAGGGAAACAAAAATTAGACATTTTTAAGAGTAAATCTAAAGTAAGCTACTTTCTCAATATTTATATTAACCCATTTGCACATTAAACCGTGCAGCAGCTTCTAAACATTTTTAATTTTTAGCTACCACTTATCTTTTAGCAACAAAGAAATTAAGTATGTCTTTTCAATAAGAATATAGAGACAGAGGTCACAGTTGCTAATGTATGCCTTACTAAAATTTTCAACCAAACTTTTCTGTTTCAAAAAGAATTAACACATCTATCATAACTATCGTAAGTTAACTACTCTCCTAATGACATAATAAAATTTACTTAGTCTTTTTGTATTACTAAGGCCCAATAAATAGCGCAGAGAGGCAGTCTGCATAAATTGGTGAATATCCACATAATTTTCATTCATTCACAATATGCCTTCATTTGTCAGATAATCTTATTTTTCAGTATCTTTCAATTTTTTAATTTTAAGAATCCTCTACACAACTTATCCAACCTAATTAAAATCTTATTGTAATATTTAAAAAATTGTAAATGAAATTAGAAAGTAAATAAAATATGTATTTTTAAAAAAAAATAAAAAATTAATTGCATTCCAGGTTATATGCGACAAATTTTCATAATTTTTAAAAATTGCCACAATCATATACCATAATTTTTAAAACATTTCCGAATAATTTAAAGGCCCTATGTCTGATATAATAGTACAATGTAGAATGCAACATAATATGCAATAAAGACAATAAATAAAGACAAAATGCTATAAATCAGGATAAAATACTTTTCATCAGAAAAATCAATAATATAAGGCCAACTACAAGTCCTCCAGTATATTTAGCATACATATTAGAGACCCCTTAAAACAAAGAAGTTCAGTACCAAGGAAATTTAAAGAGATATAATCAAAGAGAAAGCTAGTCTAAATTTAAATGTTGTTAAATTTCATTATGAATACTATTTAGAATTTAAAAGAAAAATTCTCAAATGAATTTTTTATGAAATTCTCAAATGAATTTTTTATGAAAACAATTTAAAGATTCAATGCATGTGAAACTTACCAAACTAGATGGATCACTATTGGACATTAAGTAGTGCAAGAAAACTGAGAGATGAGCAGGATTTCTAACAAGCTTCCAAAGTCCATTAAAAGGACCATGATCTTCTAAATGCCCCTATAGGTTTAAAATTAAAAAATCAGAATTTAAGTTCATTAATGTATTTTTATATAAAAATAACATACAAATTAATAACAGCTAACATAAAAAATTTATAAGATTTAACTATAATATGAAAATTTAATTTAAACTATCAAGGAAATAGTATTTATTACGCTTTTTTTTCAAAAAAAATTCTCAGAAAAAATATGATATATCAGTAATACTACTTCACTAATCCAGTGAAATTTTGATACAAAACATAATAGTACAGAAATTTTTCTGAAAAATGTTTGCTTTTTCCGCCTAAATAAATTTGACTTACATATACAGCAATCAATATACAAGATAGACAAATGGAATTTTTTTATAATACTGGATGAATTCAATTCTTGATAACAGTTGTCAAGTTGACAAGTTTCACTGTATTTATTTACTCTAAGAATATGGCCAAAGAATTGTTTTATCATCATGGCTTTATTAAAGAGAATCCTATCATAAAAAATTATTTTACATCGGTGCATTCAAGAAACGTTTTTTTTTCTTTTATTACACTGCTGGAAATAACTCTGCCAAAGAATCTAAGTATTAATAAATCAAGAGCTCAGAAAGAAAGAAAATATATAAATTAGAAATATAAAAAAATGCTAAAAATATTAACTAAACAGTGATGAATAAATACTGTTCAATGTTATGACAGTGAAACCAAGCTTAGAAAGAGAATAAATTATAAATAAAAAACATTTGCAAAATAATAAAACATTAACAATATACCAGTTCAGTATCAGAAGAAAGGTCTTCATCTTCCATACATATAATATTGGTGTTCTGGTTCAGTTTCGAAATTAGAGGCTGTATACCAAAATCATCAATAGTCTCTTGCTGGTTGAGCTGTAAAATGTTCATAATATAAAAATCAATCTTAATAGTTCAAAATTGGTTAGCCATAAATAAAAAAATGTTTTTCAAACAAATTTCTCAAAACAGTTTTAGGTTTTGAAAGATTGGCAAAAAATTGCTATTATTGTGAGAAACATGCATCCAATTTGGCTCTAATTTTATAGCGACTTAAAGGCAAGAGACAAGGGTAATTTTAAATCTAACACAGAAAACAAATTAACTTCCCAATAAAACATTGATAAGTACTTAATAAAAGATTTTTACTAGAAAAGAGTGCAAACTAATATTTTAGATACCTAAAAATCTATTAAAAAATATAAATATAAAAAATAAGGTCCGAAAATTAAAAACAACTTTAAGACCCAGAAAATCAACATTATGGTTTTAATGCAGTTTTATAGATTTTAAGAATCAATATTAATGTATCTGAAATTAGTAAAAAATTCTTGTTTTGATTAGATTTGTTTACTATTTCTAAAAAATCTTTAAGAACACAATTAGGATAAATTGGAAGCAATTTCAACAGAAATGTCTACATGTAAAAAGGCCATTACCATAAATTTAATTTATATCAAACACAAACTCCGATTAAAACAGCATTTTAAAGCTGAAATACTAACTTCATCCAACTGATGTGTGAACTCTTCTACTTTCGGTAAATCTTTTGGTATTTTATTACTGTCATTCAGTTCAGTAGGACTTGGGGGAGGGGAAGGACCAGGGCTTTCGATTGCACTATCATGTTGACTTAGTGATGAAAGCTGTGAGAGAGAAACATGTTATTACAACTTCAATAAATAAATCAGAATTAAATAATAAAACTAAATATATCAAAAGTGAAACAAGTGAAAAACTAAATGTGCAAATTTTGTAGTATCAAAATAATTGAATTAGAAAATTTTATGAAACTGAATATAAGCATAAAAAATAAAATTTCTGTAACTATGCGTTTATTTTTAAAATATAATACATGGATATTAACAATTCCTCTAAAACCTGCACTTGAGTTAAGTATTGGGACTAACTCACTCAACTTGGAATATATTCAGAGATGCCAACTGCTCCCAACACACCAAAATAATCTTAAAAAAATTTTTAATAACTAAAATTTACAAATATTTGACTAATTTTGCTTACTTTTTAAGAGAGGTTTTACATGATTTAACTATAATAAAGTGGCGAATTGTATAAACCTCTGAATTATTTAGAAACAGTGAATAAAACCAAATAAATTGAATTTATTAAACTAAGAATCACAATTAATAAACTATCACTCGAAAATATATATTAGCGGCCCGGAGCAAGTTGGCATATCTGTATATTCCATAAGGAAATAATTTAAGAAATCTTCTCACTGTTAGCCTAACATGAAAAATACACTGGAAAAAGAGGGGATAAGTATCACATGATTAATAATAATGTTGAATGATTAAGAGATTCAATCAGCTTCATGCACAATGTGAGGCGTGTACAATTTGTATTTAATATACCAGCCTTGGTAAACAAAAATATTAAATTACACTCACCAAATTTGTGACACCCTTAAATTTAAATGTTATTTCAAAAAACGATTCTTCTTTGTCAGCACTACAGCCTAGTTCAGGCCAAGGCTCTCTCAATTATATGCCTCCAGGCAGGGTGACTTTGAGCTAGATTTGTCCACCTGTTTATTCCCAACAATTTTAAGTCCTTCTCAACAACCATCTTGTAGCTGGTCTCCCTCTTCCTCTAGTTCCTTCACTTTTCGAAAAAGTAAGTTTTTTTAACTAGGCCCAAATCTTCACGCCGAAAAACGTGCCTCAGCCATCTGATACTGTAGGACTTAATAACCCTCAAAATATTGGGTAATCCATATTTATTGTATATCTCATGATTACATAAACTTCTCCAAATATCATTTTCCTTAACTGCTCCAAAAATTGACAAAAGGATCTTTATTTCAAAAATGAGTAGTCTATTTTCCTCTGTTTTATTAATGGTCCAGGTCTCGCAACCATATAGAACAATTGCTCTGATTAAGGTTTTGTATAGATTTACTTTTGTACCAATGGAGAGGAATTTCATTTTTAATTGGTTCCTCAGACCACTTATTAGCCATCCACTTATTAGCCATCAAAAGTCTGTTCCTAACTTCAACCCTTATCTCATTTTTGTTGGTAACAAGCGTACCCAGATACTTAAACTGGGTAACTCCTTCAAAGGTATAATCTCCAATTTTGAGTGACTGTACATGATGTACTCTAGAGTAGTGTTCCCCAAAACCGGTCCGCGGACCGGTACTGGTCCGTGGATCAAATGATACCGGGCCGCCCATTTCATTGAAACTGAATTTAAATTCCTAGGTTTATACCCCAAATTAAAAATATCTGTGTTTCATTAAAATTTTTATTTATTTAAAAAAATGGGCCCCCAAAGGTAGTGACATAAATTTTTTAATGTTTGTAATGTAACATTGTCTCCGATTACCCCCAGATGGAACCGTCTCATTGCAAAGAAACAAGCTCAAGGTTCTCATAGTTTTAGCGTTCTAGTAAGTTAAAATTTTAAATCACTGTAAATTTATTTTTTGGTGTAACTGTATTTTATTTTGAAGACATGTTTAAATACACTTTAATTTAAAGTAATAAATCAAAATAATCTAAAATATAAACAATCAACGATCCCCCCCCGCCCNCCCCCCCGGCGGGCCGAGGTAAAATTATCAAACGTTGACAGGTCCGCGGTGATAAAAAGGTTGGGGAACGCTGCTCTAGAGCTTACTACCCAAAAATTTGTTTTTTTTCTACATTTACTGCTAGACCTATATCCTTGGCAGCTTTCTCTAGGGCAGTAAATGTCTCCACCACATCCTGCATTGTTCGCCCAACTATATCAATGTCATCTGCGTAGGCCTAGTAGTTGTATAGATCTCTGCAGAATAGTGCCTCTAGTGTTGATCCCTGAATCTGTTATAACTTTTTCAAGGCCAATAAAATGTAAGACAGAGAGTCTCCTTGTCTAAGACCCTTCTCGGTATAGAATACTTCTGATACGCCAGGCATGAGTTTAACTCTGCATTTTACAACGATTGCTTAGCAAAATCATTTACACTCACAAATACATCTTAATAAGGGTAACAGAAACATATGAGGTATGTGGCGGCTAAATAAAATCAATCTTATGATTAAAAAAATAACTTACCTGAGATGCACTTGGAAAATTAAGTTTTGTTTCGAGATTGGACATAAGGTTTCTATAAAAGCCCTGGGGAGGTGAGACAGAGCTTGGAGACCTTCGCAGAGGATCTGGGCGAGGACAGCCATTGCTTTTTTGGCACTTTATATTCTCAAAGCCTCTCAACGTTTCAGGACTGGAACTTTGACGAGTATGCGTGGGCTGTGGCTGAAATAAAAATTTAATTTTAGCAATGCCATTGTAATGCTTAAACATAAGAAGTATCTAAAGTGTCTCTACTACATAAGTCTCAATTTTTTTTTTTACTACAGTTAAATTTTTTTTTTCAAGAAACAATACACATAAAGAATTTTGTTACATATCCTTTTGCTACAGAGACATAAATTTTTAAAAAGATTCACAGAAATTTTTTGCCAAAAGTATACAATTAAAATATTTTCAAATGATTTCTTGTTAGATGAATGAATGATTCAATATTTAGATAAATAACAATTAACTCATAGTTATCTGTAATAGAGACTGAATAGTTATAATATATCAAATAATAATAAAAGTACAAACAATACTATATTTTTTGAAAAAGCAGTTAATAATCTCAATAATTATGGCTATATTTTTTATATACATGATATAAAATATAAATCATAATTATGTGTATTATCCTTTGGTTTCAGAGATGTAAGTTATTGAATGAATAAACTTGAGCAAGGGATTTATAAAGATTCAGAGAAGTTTCACCAAAAACCTAACATTGAAAGATTCTCAAATGATTTCTGATTAGAAACTTGTAAAATAAAATCTATGTAAAAACAGTTTTGTTAATTACACTTTTTACGTCTGAGTCATAAATTACCAAATTAAAGCTTCAGCAAAAGATTGGTTACGATTTGCAGAAATTTTGCCAAAAGTGTATCATTATAAAATTCTCAAATGGTTTCTTATGATTTGTGTTCTGATTCAGAACATAAAGCGTTATTTTGAAAAATTATTTGAAAAGTTATGCTCAAGCTTTTGAATTTATAACTCAAAATGAAAAAATTATAAATTTGGCTATTTAGTCTCAACCTTTTGAAATAAAGCATTAAAATTTCTGATAAAAGGAAATAGTCTTAAACTCGCAAAGTCACAAACAAAAAAACAAAACCAACAGTATTATTTATCTGTTGGATTAAAAGAACTTGATGAAACATAAAAGGTAAAAACTTAAATTATTGAAAACTGTAGTTTAATTTAATAATTGCTTTAAACTACCCAAATAAATTTTGAATATTATATTCTAATTTAAACATTATCCAGGGTGCATAGCCAAATTATTCAACAAAAAATAAACACCTTTTAAGCCTTTTTTGTTTTGAAATTTTGATTCGTGTAAAACGAATGGTGTTTTCATACGCTACGGACTGACAATACGCCGAAATAGATTGGGGTTGAATTAATTGTGAAAACGTTGAATAGAACTGTGTCTTTTCTCATAATTTGAAGCGAAAATCAACATGGTAAAGGGAAAATCTCCTATTGAAAAGGGGAAAATTAAGCACTTTTTAAAAACACCCAATTAAAAAAGCACCTTTAGGGGCTTTTAAAAAACAAAAATTTAAAATAAGCACCTTTAAGCACTTTTTAAAAAATGCTACGCACCCTGTTACCTATAAACTACCTATTGGCAAGCAACACTTTCGTCATATTCCTCATTATTACACTTAAGAATAAAGGCGAGCATTACATTTATAAATGCAAAAAAAAAAATATTTAAAATAAGCACCTTTAAGCACTTTTTAAAAATGCTATGCACCCTGTTACCCATAAACTACCTATTGGCAAGCAAAACTTTCGTCATATTCCTCATTAGTACACTTAAGAATAAAGGCGAGCATTACATTTATAAATGCTTACAGTTTTTGTATTATGTTAGGCCAAAACACCATAAACATTTTAAAGTTAAACTCAACGCATAAAAAATATAAAGCTACAACATACCCATGTTGTGGAACGAGGGTTCAAATGCTTGGCGAGGTTCTCCAGAGATGTTGATATTGATTGTTTTTTATCAGGCGACACAGGCTTATTTTTTTCAACATCATTACACGGTGACAATATGACTTGATACTTAGTATCACTAGAAACAGGTGCGAGAGGAATCACAGGTGGCGATGTCATTGCTTGGCTAGCAGGCAATAAAGGAGCTGATATCTGATGTATGAGTGAACGATTGTGAATCCCATGAGACGGGAATGATATTGACCGACAGCTTTCACGGTCATGAAAATGGCGACCTGAAGTTGGCGATTTAGGTGACCTTGTAATCTGAAAATAATGTAGAGTATAAGTAGTAGTTTTTTTTCTTTTTGAAATCATCATGTACAAATATATTTGTTTTGAAAATGTTCTTAAACGTTCTAAATGAAAATTTTCTAAAAAAATTTAACTTAAATTTAATGAAAACAAACCCAATTAAGAAATAATTAATCTGATATATTATTATGAATACTTTTTAAAAATTCACTATTTCTTTTTTTAATCACCACTCAGAAGATATCCAATTGCACCTATCTTTAAGTTTTAGTTACGTAAGAGGAACACCTGCAAATGTATATTAAACACCATAAATTACTTAAATGAATGAGAATCAAATTATGATAAATGATTAAAATCTCTTATTTTTAAAATTTGTAGAGCTCTAAAGTAAAGAAATTTTTATGAACAAATGAATTATTAAAAATAAAAATATTTATTATAAATATTATAATAAAAAGAATTATTAAAAATAAAAACCGATAGCTTTCATGATCAGGAAAATGGTGACCTGAAGTTGGCGTTTTAGGTCACCTTGTAATCTGAATATAATTTAGAGCATAAGTAGTAGTAATTTTTTGGAATCATCATGTACAAACATATTTACTTTGAACATGATGTTTTCAAAAAAACATAAAATATAAAGGAAGAAAATTTTAACACAAATTTAGTGAAAACGTAGGAAATAATTGATTTAAATTAATAACAGGAAATATTTCTTCAAAAATTGATTTTTTTTTAAATCACCACTCAAGAGATTTACAATTGCATACTGCATTGATCTTAAAGTTTTAATCATGCAAGAGGAACACCTGCATCAGGATCTTTTTTGATGATCATAACACAATCCTGGTAACTGAATAAACAACTGCTATGTATATGCAGAAAGGTGCACCTTAAATCTGTCATGGCTCATAGCTAAAAATCCACTCATTGTTTACAAAGTAGAGAATAAAACATTAGTTTCCAAATTTAAAAGCCACTCCTTTAAGGGCAGATGATTTTTGTCATTTTTACAAAATCTGAATTAATTTGAACCTGATTTAATGTGAATATTAGATTCACAAAATGTATAGATATTTATTATTTCACAAAAACAGGATTTTTCACAAAGTCTGAACAAACTTTTACTACTTTATTACTTAATTTTAAAAGAATAATAATTATTGTTAATTTAATAGTTCAAATTTAATGCCATGCATTAACTTGAAAATATCAGAAAAATGTTGCCAAAAAAAAAAAATTTCAATTCCTAGTATAATAGAATTTTAAAGCTATAAAATTTAGCAATTAGCAACTGACAAAGTTTATGTTTCAAACTATAATTCTTACAATTTGCTCATGCTGTAAGCCGGTTAAATTGCACAACTGCTCCTCTAGAGTTTTCACTCTTTTCACAGTCCCATTTACTTCAGCACGCATCTTCTCAGATGGTGTTTTGCTAAATTCTTGCCTTAAATTCTGAAATAAGATACAAGATCATATGAATAAACATAGTTCCATTTAGAAATATGTATATTTAAATTTAGAATTTCTATCTCAATAACAAGTGAATTTTTAAAAAATCAAAATAATAAAATTCATTTCAATTATACATAAATAAGATCAAAATTTCATCCACACATGAAAGTCTTTAAAAAATTTTGAAAAATCTCTAAAAATAGATTTTATTCTGCACTTAATTCAAGGTTATGGTATAAAAAGATTATCAATAATATTAATGGTTTTTATTATTGAGAACATGATTAAATAAGAATATAATTCAATTTTTAAGTGTTAGGAAATATGTTATGCATATCTCAGCATGACAACCAGTATTTCATATTATTTAAGAGTCAGTTTGAGTAACTTTACGGAATTTGATTATAAATATTAGTCAGTATTTGTAATTGTGCACTTAATGTGAGATTTTTAGTAGTGCAATAAACTTAATAAGTACTAATAAAATTTTATTGTGATGTAAAAAAAGTTCTTTACATAATTTTAAAATTAGCCTTTGCTATACTCCTTTATGCAAAATAATGAAAGACTAGAATTATTTTACACTCTTAAATTCACTAATTTCCTTTTTCTTCCCGATTGTTGCTTTTTAGTGTTGACATATTTAAAAATTATAAATTAATTACCTTGAAAATACTAATTAGATTGTAATTAAAAGCTGCTTTAAAAATTCTTTTAACATTTGATATTTTAGTTTAAATATATTTTTCTCATTTTATGATTCTTTCGTTTTTCCATGTTTTTCTTCTCTACTGTGAAAAAAAGTTGCCCTCCCAATATAAAACAAATATATATTGCATACTAACCTCAAGATAAACCACTTCTTTTTCAAGCATTTTCCTAATAGTATGTATTCGACTATTAGTCAGTTGTTGTTGCTTTTCAGGCTGCGATAAAGGACAAATTTTAATTTAAAAGAATTAATGATTTGTTTCAAATTGAATTAAAGTACAATATCACGCTAAACTAGATATAGTATTAAAATAAAGCAATAGGCAAAATAAAATTCTTACTAGCATATTAGTACACAATAAAACAAGGTTCATACTCAAAAAGATAAAAATTTCTGGTTACTATTCTAGGTTTTTCAAGTCAATTCACATAAAATTCCAGGCAGAAAAATTTTTTGTTACAAAATTAAATTTATATTTAATAAAAATTAATTATATTTAATACAAAAAATAAATAAATAAACATAATCATATTATTATATAAATTAGATTATTACAAATGATTATAGAATTTTCTTTTTACTAAAAAATAAAATGGAAAGTAAATTTAATAAGTCAATGTCAAGGTTTAAACTAAACAATTGAAATTAGAGATTTTAATAATCTGATTTTCTAAAAAATAAAATAATTGACTTAAACTATAAATGTAAAACTCAATGATTAAGATAATTTTTTATGTTTTAGATTTCAGAATGGGCAGCTTTAAAATAATTATAAGTATAAGGGGGGGGAACTACATTTTAGACTTAACATTTTTTGAAATGACAAATTTAAATCATATAAAATTTGCTGCAACACATGATTAAAATATTAGATAAGTTAATTATATAGTATGGTTACATAAGTGAATATTGGTATTTTATCAATTGAATAATCTGTTTTCTTAATAAAATAACTCATGGGTACTGAAATTTCAGTAAAACGTAAATACGGTAAGATAGATAAGAAAACTTCTCTATCGTGGGCGCTTGTGGACAGTCCCTCAAATCATACTTTAAAAAATTTTGAATTTTCATTTAATTTTGCCCTTATTTAATAAAAAAGAGAATGATTAATTAATTACATAGTAATAAATAATAAATTTTCTTAATCATTTCTAGAGAAAATTGGATAAAAACTGTTCAAAGTCATGCCGAAATGTTACATGAAAGAATATTAAGCCTTAGATAATCAGGGCAATACTCTATGTCTTTTAAAAATAGAATCAAAAACACATTTTTTACAAACTTCAGAGATGAGAGTAGTCAGAAAGTATAAAAGAGGAAATCCAAAAAACAAAAAAAAAGAAAGAAAAAAAAAGGAAAAAAAAGTNTGTAATACATGAAAAATGACAAATTACTTAAAATTGTCAAAGCAGTAACAAAAATTTTTATTTGTCTATGAATACCATTACTTACATCAACAGGTTGTGGTCCTGTAATCCGCTCAGAACAATCTGATTTATTTGAATTCATGACACTAAAGTTAGTTCCAGGTAAACTGAAAGAATGTTGCGGACTCAAACCCTTTCCTTGACCCGGAGGCTTCCCTAATAAAGTCAAAGCGACATAGGAACCAGCTAATAAAGAAAAAAAATAATAAGATAACATTAAAAATAAGGATTAAGCATGAAACAATGAAATACTGACAATGTTTAGAGAATAAAGCAATTGTATTGAAAAATACAAAATCTCCATTTGGGTACTAGTAGGATATACTTTGTTTACATATGAATGTTAAATTCTTTAAAATTTAAATAAAAGCACATTGAATTGAGTAAGTTTAACATAGTAATGCGTGCCTCCATTATGTACTGAGTAACAGTACAAACTTAAAAACAGCCATGAAAATCTTCATAAATGGAATTAAAGCAACAAAATCTGAAGGCAAATACTCGTTTGGAATATCTTTAGACATAAAGGGAGTTTTTGATAGCATTATGTACTGAGTAACAGTACAAACTCTAAAAACAGCCATTAAAATCTTTATGAATAGAATTAACACAACAAAATCTAAAGGCAAATATTCGTTTGGAATATCTTTAGACATAAAGGGAGTTTTTAACAGCATCGTTTAAAAATATATAATTTGAATCGGGTATGATCGAATAACACGTTGACAAATCTCATTGGAAGTTTTCTCATCAATAGGCATATCACATATAGATAATTGATTGTGAACAGATTAAATTAAAGCTATCAATTAAAATACACTTTTAAAATAAAAGTATTTGCTTTTGTAAAAATATTACTATCAGGTCAATTTCAATTAATCAAGAAATACATGATAATGGGTTATAATATATTATAAATTACTCCTATGTAAAATAATAATAATACGTAAATAATAATAATAAGTAAAAAATTTATTACATTTTATAAGCTCGACTACTTCTTGATGATTAGACTGAGTCACTAGTGTCCCGTTGACCTGTAAAATAATATAACCAATTAAAGCTGACGAAAAATAACAGAAAAGAAAGAGATTTAGAAGCAACAAATTTCTGTTAAAATAACAGGCCAAAATTTTGAAGCTGTAATACAATACATTATTTCAGCAGTTTTCTTTTTCTCTAAAAAAAAAAAAAAAAACAGAAAAATATATTTTAATATTTTTAGAGAAATTCAAGAAATTTTTTGTCAAAAAAAAATTTACTTTGGAAAGGCAGAATGCGTTTGCAAGGTTGCAACCTTCAAACCAATCAGACTAGAATTAGGTAATTTTAGACTTAAAATGATTGGGAAGAGCTAGTGGAATGATAAAAAAAAAATTATGACTGCAAATTTAAACCCATAGAATCAGTAGATTCTTTTCATAAGTAAAGTTGATACAAAATAACACTATGTTAAAGAGTAATTACATACAAATATTAAAAGCCTTATTGAAATACTTTCAATTTCTAATAATGAAAGCAACATACTTTAATGATTCGATCTCCTTGCTGAACTCCAGCTCTGGCAGCAGCACCATCTAAAATGAAAGGAAGGAAAAGAAACAGTTTTATTAAAGTAAAATAATATTGTACCTTTTTGAATAAAACTCCAACATCTCTCTTAATTACAAAAGTATAAATTATATTTATAGGAACCCATGTAATATTTATAAACAAAAAATGCAGCATCAAAAGTGTCATTAAATAAAAAATACATAATATTTAAATAAATAATATTAATTTTCCAATTTAAAAAATTTACTGACTTTTATATAACTAATTTTCAAAAATTATTTATGTATGAAGTATCATAAGTAAATAAGATAAGTATTATAGGGTGTATTATAAGCTAAATTTCTTAGTAATTGAAATTGAATTTAATAAAATAAAAAAAATTACAACTAAATTTATACATAATTTATAGCTGAACTTGATAATCAACTCTGTGATTAAATAAAATACAAATATATTTAATTTGAATACTTATAAAGCATAGATATATGCTTTTATTGGAACTGATTTAAAATATATATATATGAATATATTCTTTTTAGGCATGTAGCTTAAAAATAGAAAAACAAAAATACAATTCTACACTAACACAAAGAAAAATTAGAAAAACATCAAACACCAAATAAAACCTCCAAACAAAAACAAATCAGGGAAAAAAAGAAAAGAGATAATTAAATACTAGAAATTTCAGTTTAAAGGGAAAGCGCTCAGTGGAAAAACAAAACATTAAGATATAAAAATATTTAAGAAAACATTAAAAGTATAAATTTTTTAAATCAATATTATTAAAAACAGAGAATTCAACTTGTCAAAGTTGAATTTCAAGAAAAATATCCATATTTCCACAGCTAGAATTGGATGTTCAAATAAATATTTTTACTAATTAAAGCATTTTAAATGCATTAGATATACACCAGATTTAGGAAATGAATAACACACATACAAACACCATTAACAAATACAAGGATGCAGAAATAAATAAAACAACTTAAGTATCAGTTGAGATTTTAAAATTACCATCTTTAACAGACTGCACAAAAACTGGATTATCACCAGAAACGGTAAGCCCATAACCTTTTTCATCTTTTTGAATTATCACACAACGCTGCACCATAGGATCTATAAAGCAAACTAACTATTAAAACATTTTATATGCTTGATTTACTAAAATGAAACATCATTACAGAGCACAACAAAAATATTTTTTCTTTCAATAATATTGAAATTAAATAAAGAACCAAAGTTACTTAAATATTTACTTAATTAAATAAATAGAACAATCAAAAATTTACTGCAGTAGCATATATACTTAATATAATAATTAAAATATATATGAAAATATGGAGTACAAGCAAAGCATAATAAACATTAATAAGCAAATATTTTAAATCAACTCTTTCAAAGCAAAAAAAAGCTCCTCCCTCCCTTCCAAAAAAAATCATCTTTTGAACTATAATAAGGGTCAAAAAAGTTGCTTTGAATTTAAAACAAATAGATTTCATTGAAAAAATTTAAAGTTTGTTACAAAATTACGAAAGTATTATAAAAATAAAGAGACAATCATAAATTTTTTAAAAAAAATTAAAAATAAGGGACCATTTAATAAATTAAGAGCTTTGACTCCTGTAATTTTCATAAGTATTCTGCAATTCTATAACTGCAAGAAATAAAAATGGAAGTTAACTATATATAATAGTTGCCATCTTTGCATTTATATGAATAAATTATTTTTTCTCATTAATTCAGACAAATGGATATCTACAGCAATTTACATTATTGGCATACATTTTGGTTATACATGCCTTTTTTTCATACATTAATTTAAAAAGCACAAAACAAAGGATAATTTAAAGAATTAATTTTTCACAGACACAATCTTACATAAACTTTTAGATTTAAAACTTCACTATAATACTTATTTTACCTTTATATTAATAAACTTTACATTAATTACCTTTATATAACCAAACTATAATAATGATAATAACATAACAATTAAAACAGATTCACTGTAAAAGATTAATAAAAAATTCATATAGCAAATGAATTTGAGTGTAAAATAATCAAATTATAAAATTTACACTACCTTTGGAATCATTTAAATCAATATTAAAATGATTGAGATCATCTCTATACAAAGTGGATTCAGTTCTACTTATCCTAAAAAAGAAACAAAAAATATAAGTTGAATTCACAAAAGTAGCATTAAAGTAACTTAAAAAGTGACTAAAGAATTTTTTGAAAATTTAACTGATTTTAAAAAAAAAAATTCAAAAACAATAGTTTTCGTAACAGAAGAAATCAGAACTCAGAAAGAAGAACTTATCTAGTAGCTAGCAGTCAACATGAAAAATGGCATTGATAAAAATTATTTGAGAAAATCTTTCAAAAATGACACTGTAAAAATACTAAGAATTGACTATAAAGTCTAATTGTTACATAATTTCACAAGAAAGAGAAAGTTCAGAAATAACTACTAAAAGAACCAATTTTGTTATATCATAAACTACAACACAAACACAAAAAGGATTCCAATTTATCTTATGTAGCCAAAGAATGAAATTACTCAAAATTGCAATGCTTTTAATTTTTGGTTTCAGTTAAATCTCGACAATATAATCTATAAAAAAAATATATACATTTTAGAGGAATTAAATTACGATCTACTCATACTTTAACAATAAATTCAATAAATTTAGTTCAAAGACTACATAAAATCTTGTGAACTTCTCATAAATATTTATGAAGATATAACTATTTTTATAAAAAAAAAAATTTAAAAAAAAACTTATTTTTTTGTCTGAAAATTTTTAGTTATCCTTAAAAAATATTCAATAATCAAAATTTTAAATATAATTTTTTGAGCAATTTAAAATTGCTGCTTAAAAAAGATAAATAATAATTGTTAAAAACTGCTTTACACCTTTAAAGTTACGAAATAATCCTCCAATTGTTTCTTGAGAAATTTTATAAAAATGTCAAAAACTGAACATATATATAATAATAAATTAAAAACTAATTAAAAAAAATAGACTTTACAATAATAGCCACATAGCATAGCTACAACCATTATACTAATCAAAACATTCCCTTCATAACTATTTTGCTAAAAATACCATGTGATTTTAGAATTTTTCCTTGCTAACGTCTAGGCGAGAAACTGCATAAAAGATATACAACAAAATTAATAATTTGATGTAATTATATTTTTTTACTTTCTTATTGTCTTCTGAAAATCTGTACACATTTATTATTTATATTATATTTAATGTAACTTCTCTTTATTTCTAATTTTTCCTTGTTTAAAATTAGAACATAGACTTTATTATATTCCTCCATTTTCGTCAAATGAGCAGGATTGACCACTTAGTGAACCTAAAGCTTTAATTAAATTTGTTTATTTTTGTTAATACTTAAATAAGGATGAATAATATTATTGAATATTATGATTAATATGTAATATAATAATACAGTTAGGTATCTCTGTTATATTTTTGAAATTTTTTAAGACATCAGCAAATCATTAAAGTCGCATAAATATTAATTAAGTCTACAAGACATTATTTTAATAATTATTGCATATAAAATTCAAACCATTCATGAACAAACAAAGAAATAATTCATTATAATATCAAACATAATTCATTATATTTCTTTCACATTTAAAAACAAACGTAGTTATATGAAACAAAATTTGAACATATAACGCACAGCCTCATAATTACGTAAATTTATTAAACATATGAAACATCTTAAGAGATGACATTATGTTACATAACAAAACAACATTGCAGGAATGTAAACAAAAGTGTACCACTAATTTTAGAATACAAAAAGAATAGAATCAGAGATAAGATATTTGAATGCAAAATACACAAGACACTAGAGATAAGTAATCTTTAAAACAAAAATATACAAATATTATTTTAAAAACTGATACTTTGATATCTGTGATCAGAATTACGTCTATTACCTATGGCATATCTTTCAATGAGAGACCCTATATGTTTACAATTGTTAATTTAAAATGAATCAAACTAACATTATTATGGTTATTCGGATAAATTAAACAGTATATCTAATAGGAATATTAGATTTTTAGCTCCATTTGGAAATCAAATAAATTTGGACGATTGTTTGAGAAATGTAAACATTGGCAAAACGAGATGAAGGAAGAGAAAGAAAAACTTACTTTTTAGATAAAGTAGGAGACGGCAGGTCCATCCTTATTAACAGAAATCAAAAGGAAAACGTCTTAAATTAAAACTCATTTTTCCTTGACAGAAATAATCGGTATTGTTAGTAAACAACGCCTTCAAAATAGAAACAATTCATCGATAATATGGCTGACATTTACATTATGAGGAATCCTGGGTAAAAGGTCACAAACGTAGTCACAAAAAAACTTGATTATTTTGCAACCAGGAAAATTTTTCAACTTAAGTAATTTATTTAAAATAGTTCAGATTTGTTTACTTGCTGGTTCGGTATTTAAATATTTTCTTAATATTTTGTTAAAAATTGAACTTATTGTCAGCTAAAAACTTGCTTTTCATAAATAACACAAGTGGGGATCAAAAGCCAACCATAAGTGCAGTTAAGCGAAACAGTATCTGCGTCATCTTCACTCCACTAATTTTGAATCTAAACTAATTGCTAATGCTGATTTATATTAATATTTTAAAATAATCATTTACCATTACAAAATAAATTTTTTTAAATATTGACATTCATTCTTACACGTAATTTTAATTCCGAAAAATGATTTTTGTATAAGGAGGCATTCACACTGCCTAGACATTGTGCAAATATTTAGCGAATCATTCTCACTGGCTGCCTTTTTTTTCACATACGAACATTTTTCACATTCGCGATCGTAACACTCGAATACACCATCAGGAGAAAAGACTGTTTCCATGTCTTGACCTTCCCCTTACATTTCCTCCTCCACTCAGTCGTATGGGAATGATGTTATTTTCCTCATCCATAATATTTATTGCATTTAATGATTGTCCCGCAGTGGACTGATCGTTAAGACACGGTTCCTAGCAGATCACCGAAGTCAAGCATCACTGACTGTGGTCAGTGTGCGGATGGATCCCCACTTGGGTCAGTCTGCGTAGGGACCGAGGGTGTGCGGTATTGGTCCTCGTTAAACTGTTCTTCCGTAAAGTGCTCGACTTCACGTGCAGGTCGTCTGGCTACCTAAGAGGGGGTGCCATCCCCTATGCAGAGGATCAAAACAGGGATGTTTCCCAGACAGTCGCCAATAGCCCATTGTGCAGCTCTAGTGCGACGTAAATGAACTACAACAACGGCATTTAATTATTAAAAATATTTTCTAAAATTCTCACGACGCTTTCTTTAAGAATTATGTTTAATACAGTTTTGTCCTTGCTTAAAAATTCTTATTCTGTTCGAAAATCAAGACGGAAACTAAAATTCTTCCAACTCCTATGACTATCCACATGCTTAGCAAAGAATGACACATGAAAGCAAGCAAAATGTTGCCATATGCAGAGAGTTCTGCTCTGCGCCACCTGTAGCCCATTTCGATCACCAAGGAACAAGTGGTCAAATTTTCATGAATATAAAAAAAAACTGTTTTGAGGCTTGCGAAGAGGTTATCCCTTTCTCAAACGTACACATACGTACTCTTCCTTGCTTCCCAAGATCACCTTACTTATGAGGGAACATAAACATTCAAGCCGAAACAGTAAAGTGGCTCCATCCCGTTCGCATTGTGCGTTGCATGCGAGTTTTTCGTTAGCCAAAAAATATCACAGGCAATGAGATTGCTGGTATGATGAGCTGACAGCTTAAGTGCTATGCGTTTGTGATCATCACACGGGCATGCGTATATAGTGGGTTAATCTCATTGAATGCGACAACCTGATTACCAAATTTTTTTCAGGTAATGAGAATCTGATTTCATCAATCAGATTCTCATTCGCATTTCCCTGTTTGCATCAGCCAATTTTTCGCATGCAGTGAGATAGGTAGCCGGATGTAAGGAAAGTAACCTATCTTTTCTTTTTTATTTGTCTTGGAGAAGTTAGCGACTTTTCTTATATTTTTTACAGTGTGATTCACTTAAGTGGTATTAATATCGTAAGTTATAAAAATGGATTTTGAGACAGGCATATATGCAAAATAAAAATATTTGCTCTGCGAATCCTTCCTAGTCAGTTAGGATCTCACCTATATTCACCTTGCTAGGATCTCACCTACTCCGAATTGCCAACTCATGCATGAGAAGTGTCCTCGACTTCGATAACGGCATCTTTTCTTTCTGAAGCCAATCGGGTCTGCGAACACAGCACGTATTATATAATGCTGCACTTCGTATAGCATTATATAATACGACTCGATGGACAACCTTTCCACTCCTTTTCATGGAAGCAGGATTGAGTACATTAGCTTCACGACATAAACGGCTTTCAGTAAAATTCTACTTTCGTCACATCTCCCTTCAATTATCATCTCCAACTTAGCATCACCTACATCTCCACTTCATTCATCCAGCTTTCCACAAGGTTAAATGACACCGCTTATACCATTCATGCATAAATGGATGACCAGCGAGCAGCAAGAACATTTTTCAAGATAAAACTATTAAATACTACACTCCAACTCAAATTCCTTCAAATGTTTAATTTATCTAGATGATTTACCATTTCAAACTAAAATTTTAGTCCTGCTGCAGATTCGAATCATGTTTGAAAAGTTTCGCCATCAGAATCTTTAAAAGTGTATCGTTCTGGCAACCGATGAATCCAAATTATCAAACGAAATTGGAGTGGGAATCTGTAAAATTTACAGTACTTCAGGTCAACTTCCTCCGCCTACATCGGTCTTTACCGTCGAAGGACTGGCCATTTTCCTCGCCCCTCAAACACTGCGTTATAGCAACGACCACTATATTTTTCTAACGGACAGCCGTTCAATCCTCCTGTCTTTTACCAGTGACACCCGAAAAAATCTTCGAGAATCTCTTTTCTTCTTCTTTACCAAATTGCCAAATTGATCCAAAGCAAATTGCTCTTGACCAAATTTCTTTGGGTTCCATCTCAAACAAGTATATATTCGTCGTTAAGCAGCCGAACCAATTTTGGGTCGACAATTTACGTTTAACTCTGTAGCCTTCTAATTTTGAACCAATCCAGAAGACAAGGAAACTCATGGATCAATACCCCAGAGGTATGATTTGTTTTGGGAAGATGGAGGACTTTGAGACTCGAGAGATTTAACGTGCATCAATCACCATATACTACACGAGGAGTCTTCGACCGGTGGGGATCGAACTCACGAACTCTTAGACATTGGCCCACTGCCCTACCAACCAGGCTATCCCGGCTCTCATACAGGTATAAAGGAAAATTAATAAGCAGACCAGCTGGCAAAACAAGTGCTAAACCAAACTATTAATCACATCCTTCATCACCTCAAGACCTGAGCCAAGCATTCCTTAAGGAAAATCTCGGTGAAGAACTTAGTGTACGGAAGGGTTGCAATTACTCCCTTTCCTTTTTTCACCTTGATGGATCTCAAGATTACCGTTTGCTGATCAGCACCTGAAAACTTGACGTACTAATTTCCACGCTTAGAATTAAATCTTTTCCGATTAATACGATCTTACATTTGGGCATGGAACAAGTGCAAACATGTTCCATGCCCAAATTGTCTGGGTTGCGGAGGTGTCGACATGAACTATCACTCCCTCTTGGAATGTCCCTCATACCAGAATGCTTACAAATATCTCTACCAATCCTTATCTCTTCAGAATCCAGCATTTTCCGATATCCCGAACTTGCCTTTTAGTCCTCGGACCAAACTCCGATCCCTTGGCAAATTCTTCTAAGCCACAAACCGTTTCTGACTTTTCATTAAAACAGTTTCTGACTTTTCATTACAACTTTCTGTTATCTATTTCCTCAACCATAAGATTTATTGGTAGAAATACAGAGCTATAAGCTAATACTAAAAGCTTGTCGCTCTTTTCTTCATTCCAAATAAGAGAGATTGCTGGAAAATAATGTAGTTGTTGTTCATTTACGTCGCACTAGAGCTGCACAATGGGCTATTAGCAACGGTCTGGGAAACATCCCTGAGGATGATCCGAAGACTTGCCATCACAATTTTGATCCTCTGCAGAGGGGATGGCACCCCCGCTTCGGTAGCCCGACGACCTGCACACGACCTGTGACGAAAGTAGAATTTTACTGAAAGCCGTTTATGTCGTGAAGCTAATGTACTCAATCCTGCTTCCATGAAAAGAAGTGGAAAGGTTGTCCATCGAGTCGTATTATATAATGCTATACGAAGTGCAGCATTATATCGAGCACTTTAAGGTAGAACAGTTTAGCGAGGACCAATACCGCACACCCTCGATCCCTACGCAGACTGATCCAAGTGGTTACCCACCCGCACACTGACAGCAGCCAGTGATGCTTGACTTCGGTGATCTGCTGGGAACCGTGTCTTAACGATCAGTCCACTGCGGGACAGAAAAATAATGATATTGTTACATTGCAGAAGTAATTCTTCCTGTTTGTAATTTATGTTGAACCCTCTTCCTTCTGCAATAAATTTCACACTTGTTTAAAGAACCTGTTTATTTAATCATTAGACGATAAATTATGTAGTGCGAGTTTATCTGCACAACATCAAGTTGCGTCCGCGACAGGATTCGTTCCTGCAATCTTCTGATTGTACCGATTAATGTATAAAAAGGAAAATATTTATGTGTAAAATTCGGAATCAATGTCAAATATCGCATTCAAACATGAAAAAAAGTTCTACTGCAAAATTAATTAACTCAAACACATTTTTTTTTTTCAAATAAAAGATGTGATAAATTCGAAATTGATGATAAATAGTTAAAAAAATCCCTGTCGTTCACGATCGGGAGCTCTATAAAGAGAAAATTTTAGGTGAAGGGAAGAGTCCAAAATGATATTTCTTTTTAAAATTTTGGATAATAGTCGGAAATTTTTTCAAATTTAAAAATCATAATTTTTATAATCTTTAAAGTTTACAAGGAATACACTTAAGGAGCACTTAAGACTCTTTCCTTGAAATCTAGATGGCACATGTCTCGGACCAAATCAGAATAGAGTTACGCAATTTAACAATGCTAAACAGACTGTATTATAAACCCTGTCGGTAGCAAAGAAAGTAAAATTGCTGTGCATACTGATTGAAATATGATTTTAAAAAAAAGACTTTAACTTCAACTCCAAGATCACTCAACTCTTATCTTGTAAATAAAACCGTTGATACTGGACAGTATTATAAACTAAGTCTGATGCCAAAACAAAAAAGGAAAAGCAAAAAGAGAAAAACGAAAAAAGACACGCTTTCGAAGTTATCGGCCTGTGTATGTTGAATTGTAGAATAGAGCGACAAGCTCTTTGTTAAAGCGTACAGCTCTGCATTTTCATTCACTTGAGTATACACAAACAAACTAAATTTCTAGGTGGTAATAAAAAGTAAATAATTCGATCATTACATAACGCCCACATTGAACTACTTTAATTTGATTAAAATAGTCTGAAAAAGTTGTAGCATTTTTTTTCGATGGTTCGATCTGGCATATATGCATTTCCGTATTGTCTTCCGTACATAATTAAAATAATGCATTATTGGAGTCTGTAATTGGGTATAATATGAAAAAAACACAACTACTTCGATTTAGTAGGAACAACATATGACGCAATGCTAAACGAATGGAATTTAGTTGTTGTTTATTTAGTTATTGTTATTAGTAGTTGTTGTTATTTGTTTTAGTTGTTGTTGTTTATTTAGTTGTATTTAGTTTCAATAACTTTTCTTTATAATGCAATAAAATCTGGCGAGCAGCTATTTAAACGATCGAACACTTCGTTTGTTTATTTGTGGCTTGAAGTTAGGCTCGCAGAAAATGCCGTTCATGGGTTAAATTTAGTAGGAACAACACAACCTGTGACGTAGGCTATATTAAACCCAATTAGAACAATCTTGGACACGATTTTGATATCGAGCAAATTTTTGAAACTCCCATGTTCAAAACTGGTTGAAAATGTGCCTTATATTTTTAAAAAAATTCCCGAAGTCCACTGATACCTAAAAATATTAAATGCAAATCAATTTTCTAAAAAAAAAAATAGTTTAAATGTGTCCAACATGCGTGAAATCGTCGAAAATGTGATGTGGTTGATATTATATGAATTTTTATGAAAACTCATAAATGTAGTAATAAATATACTTTTTTTTAAAAAAATTTCAGCATAATTAATCTTATTCAAATTCTTTTAATTATTACATAGAAAGCTATAATTTCAATTGTTTATTTATTTATTTTTATTCATAATTTTTTTCCAGATTGTAAGATATTTTTATACTGTATGATTATCTTTATAATTCACATTTCAGTCATGAAACAATATCCACTAGACTCAATAAGATACTTATGCCACAAAACGGTGCAAAAGGGTACTTGAATAACTTACAATTTTTCATTGCAATTAAAAAAGAGTGTAAGAAAATGTAGTAAAATAAAGTTCTTTAAAAAACACAAGTAACTGTATTTAGATAATAGATATTTATTAAAATCATACAATCAAAATACATACATAAATACTCTGTGTATAAAGAATGTGCAAATAATTTAACTTTAAATATATCATTCATTCAGACAATGATAATGATGTAGTTTAACAACAGTTAATATACATATAACAAACTTTTTCAATGACCTGTTCTTGTCGTGTTAAAAATATTTAAATGCGATTAAAAATTTAAATTTCAACAGTTTATATTTTTTGAACATAAAATTATGTAAAATCATGGCAACCACATTTCTGTTGCTTAGGGACCATCCTTACTGCATCCGATTTCCCTTTAAAGTAAGTAATGCTTATAAACAACATATAAGAGAAACTGCTCTTATGTGAATGTTTATAAACTAAATATCAGAGGAACCTTCACTCATGTACGAGCCCTTATTGAGCAAAATCCATTCACCTTTAACCTAAATACAGTTAATGGACTCGATTTTCTAATTTTAAATTTAATATTTGAGGGTGCACTGACACATAATGATGCGATAATTATTACCAGAAAATATTTTTAGTAAACAGATATTAACTTTGAAATATACTTAACACTAGCTTTTAAAATTGAGGTTGTAGTTAAAAGTAGATTTACTAACAATAAATTTACCATCAATGTTTCATTTTTAAATTCTTTTTCTGGTGGCTCGCAATGAGGTCATCATTTACAGCATTTTTTTGGCATGCCTTTTGTACTTCAAAGAACAATATTTAAAATGCGTCAATCCTGCAGACATTATTGCTATAAATCATTAGTTAAAATAAACAATTCAATTTAAAGGCACTTTTTTTTAATCAAGTTAAGACAGTTGGCGATGTTTCAGTTATTGTCATATTAACATCTTTCCGGTATTCTTTACTTGCAATGAAGTTTTGCCATGATATGTAGTCTACATAAACTAGTCCAACAAGCACTAAAAACAATGATAAGATAAAAAGCTGAAAAAGAAAGGAAAAATCCGTTTTAATATGGAGTATGCAATTAATCGCAAAGTTCATGCAAAAGTTATTTTCTCCCCAAAAATTTTCTGTATTGTTAAGTTACACATTTGTTAATTAAATTTAGCGAAGTTAAACTTATATCTAACTTACAATATTTAAAATTTAAAATAAAGATTAAAAAAAATTTTACGATATATACTAAACTTACTTTTACATTTTTAATATAGAAACAAAATAGAAATAAAACTTATATAGAGTGTTCCCTAATCACCGTCCGTAATATATATTTTTAGAAGCCTGGTTAAAAATCTTGTCAATTAAGTATATATATCAGGAAACACATATACGTATTTAAGAGGACGCCATACCGCGGAAGAAAATTTTCATCGCAAATTCTTTTTCTCCTTCATTACTAATTTAAAATTTCAAAGAAAGAAAAAGTAAGTTCATGCAAACCTAGAGATGTTAAATCAGTAAGGAGGAAAGCGGGATAAAGTTTGAAACCGGTTAGTTTGTCTGCTGAAACTTGGATACGTTGATAATAACCATCTTCAACTCCTGTTTATTTTCTCCGGCAATCAATCAATTTTTGATGATTTCACTCGCGTTCTCCACAGTATATAATTATAAAATGTACCAACCTTTACTGCTTTAAATTTTAGCAAGGATTATAAGAATGTGTAAAAACAGCAGCCGTTACATAACAGCCTGTATATTCGACTGTATCAATGTAACGAAGTTTAAAAACGAGTAAGATTTCATGACTTGCGATCACTGCATGGTTCTTAACTTTATACTATCCTCGAATTCTGATGTCATTTTAGCACTTTATTTTATACCCGATTCACGAGGTGGATTTTGTTTCTCCCTTAACAACATCGCCTTTTTTTGATTTCATGCGAAAATAAAAATTCAAAAGAAAAATTTATAGTTTTTGAATGAAATTTTTCTTTTTTTATATAAAGTAAATTTAAAATTTTATTTTTGTAACAGAGAATGGCATTAAGGTTAAGAGAGAAGTCAATTAAAAACTAACTACTGTAAACAAAGAATTTTGTTAATTATAGGATGATAATATGATGTTAAAAGTGTATCAATTATGTCTTTAGGTCATTATTTCTCTTGCTTTTTTATAATTTTTTTTATCAAATAAATATATATTTGTGATTAGTAATAAAAACTTAATTTTTAATGTTTCTTATTTAAAAATGATTCTAACGGTATTACATAACTATAGGCGTTGGCACATATTTAAATAAAAAAAAGTTAGCCAAAATAAATTTTCAAAAAGTAAATGTGAAAGTTCTGGAAATTTTTTGCCACACCCCTAAATTGAAAACACACTTTTCATTCATTTTCATCTATTAATTTTCTCCTTTATCAAAGGCTTGAATTCGTTTTTGACATAAAGGAGAAGTGAGTTCAATGACATTTCATTATTATTGAATCTTTCGTAAATAATTTTAGAAGTTTGATATCAAAATTATTACTGCGCGGGAATTATGCATATTAATCTGTAGGCTAAAGCAAAACATATCTCTGTTGATTTGACCGAAATGAGTAAAGGGTTGAAACTTAAAAATTATAGTATGCAATATGTGCTAGATCTAATGTGATTTTCGAACCTGAACCTGATTCGAACCAGAGTAAACTCACTAAGAAGCCAGCACTCCATTCACTCAATCAATCCACATACAGCCTTATACTTACAGCCGTCTACATACAGCAATCAACCTACATACATCAGTCTACTACAGCCTTTGCAATCAAGATTACATTTGTACATTTCGACTATATTTATAGCTTAGTTATGAAAAAAGTATATTATTTTTTGTTTGAAATGTGTAATAGTAATTCTAAGTCTTACCGAAGCAAATATCCTTGCTGCTAACATATATTCACACATGCCAATTGAAAGTAATGATAATGTTGAAATAACGAAACAGAAAAGAAGCATGAATCCATCGTTCATTAATAACTGAAATAAATAATAAAAACTACATTATGACTTTGTAAAAGTTTTTAAGGAATATTCACTTAATGCATTGATTCTATGGTTCCCAGAAAGCATATAACCTTACGTCAACTTTGTGTCGGAAGTTTCATTTTATTGTTCCAAAAATACTATTTGCATTAAAAACCTTTTTTCGATAAAGCAAAAATATTGCAGTTTCAAACCGTTCATCGAAAAAGGATTAAAAATTATTTTTTAAAGCTTTTTTTAAGAAAGTATTGTCATTTAGGTCTGCAGGACAAAATATAATATTAAATTATTTAAAAAAAATTGAATAATTTTAGTTTAATTAATTGTGTTTTTATATCAAGTCTTTCAGTTTTGTGCATGTTTTCCTAGTGTGTTGTTTAGAACTATTTACTGAAAGTTAAATTTTTGCCTCTCAGCTAGTGTTGATCTAGAATATATTATGTTACTATGAATGACTGAAATTGTCAGTTGCTGACTTCCATCAGTGAATGTTGACAATCACATAGTCGCTTTGGTATATGTCCGAAATATGTACTGGTCTAGTTAAATATAGGTATATATACCGAAATATAGGTCTAATATGTGCCACTGTCCGGTATACATTTGCCCAGTATGCCCTCTACATCAATGTTTTCCTAAGGTTCAGTGCCACTGCCCGGTATGCCCTACATCATTGTTTTCTAAGGTCGAGTGCCACTGCTAAGTATGAATTTAACCGGTATACTCCGAACTGATGTTTCTCCTGATCTATCCTAAAGACACGGTTCCAAGTTAAATCCAGAAGCCAATCATCACTGGTTGCTGTCAGTAAGCGGGTGGTTGACCACTTTGATCAGCCTGCGTAGGTACCGAGGGTGCGTGGTATCGATCCTCGTTAAACTGTTTTACCGCAAAAAGTGCTCGACTTCGCGCGCAGGTCGTCGGGTTACCAAAGCAGAGGAGCCATCCCCTCTGCAGAGGATCATAATTGCGATGGCATATATCTTCGGATCATCCTCATCGATGTTTCCCAGACCGTCACCAATAGCCCATTGCGCAGCTCTAGTAGGACGTAAATAAAGTACCTATGAACCATTAACTTTTAGAAATGTGTTTTAAGAAATTAAAAACTGACCGCTTGTTACAACCGTAACATATTGTATTACGTGAGCCGCGATGACTCAGGGAATAGAACGTTCGCCTTCCGACGAGGTGAACCGGGTTCGATTCCCAGTGATGGCTGATCGATACGAATCCGCATTCGGCTTGCTCCAACCAGAGTGCTGACACGAAACATCCTCAGTGGTAGACGGATCATGGGTTAGAGCCCTTTTGCAGACAGGCCAGCCGTGGGAAGTGCTCGGTATGCCCTACATCAGGGGTGTCAAACTCAAAAGCTAACTTGGGCCAAATAAACAATGCTTAACTTTAGGTGGGCCGCAAAAAAAAAATCAATGTTCATAGAAACAAATATTTTTACTTTGAATAGCACATTGTAATAAACATATATAAAGTTAAATTATTGTTTGATACTTGACATCTCTTCTCTGCTACTATCTTTCCTATTTCGGGAGAAATTGTTTCGGCCGAGACTACTTTCAAAATTGACCCAACATGAGCGTTATTAATACGGTTTCGAACAGGAGATTTATTTCCATTCATAACAGAAAATAATTGCTCGCACTGATAAGTACTTCCAAACATGGAAATAATTTCATATGCGAATTTTCGAGTATTTTCAAACCTTGCCGGTAAATATTTGTAAAATTCAGGCATAACCACTTCAATGAATTTTGCCTTCAAATTTGAGTCGCACTGAATCTCAATCACTTCCATTTGCATACTACTGGGTACTGAGTCTATATTTATTGAGAAAATCGACGAAAACAAACAAAATTTGTTTTCCGAGGAATTAAAATCTTTAAACCTTGTTTCAAATTCCGTTCGAAGATTTGAAATTTTTTCTGCGTATTTTTGATACGATGCAGCATCCCTGGAATGGCAGAGGCCGAAAGCCAATTAGAATTTTACATTTTCGCGCGTACAATTTAAAATGATCCGTATAGTTTATAAATAAAGTATATTATAATTTCATATGCTAGTTTCCTTTCTAATTCACATTTCTAATTTATTTTTACTTTGCGTTGAATATATTGACTGGGCCACAAAAATGTTCATCTCGGGCAGCGAGTTTGACACCCCTGATGTAGGGCATACCGAGCACTTCCCACGGTTGGCCTGTCTGCAAAAGGGCTCTAACCCATGATCCGTCTACCACTGAGGATGTTTCTTGTCAGCACTGTGGTTGGAGCAAGCCGAATGCGGATTCGTATCGATCAGCCATCATCAATGCTTTCTTGCTCCATACATCAATGTTTTCTTAAGGTTCGGTGCCACTGCCCGGTATGCCTTACATCAATGTTTTTTAAGGTCAAGTGCCACTACCAAGTATGCATTTAACAGGTACTCCGAACACTGATGTTTCTCGTAATCTATCTTCAGCAAATATTAAAATATGGAATAAATATAACAATATCCACGAATAAATCAATATCAAATCCGATATGACAAATATTTCTGACATTACCCAAGCGACTATGTGATTGTTGATATTCTCTTGATTTCTATCACGGTAACATGTATTTATAAAATGAGTTACATAAAAATCGATATTTTACCTCCTAACATTTTACAGTTAAGGTGTTTTTTCCTAAATTGAAAGTAAGTTTGTTTATAAGCACTGATACATACCGATAGCGGAATGTTGATATGAGCAACTACTTTTTTATCAAGTTTCATGAGAAACACAACAATGGCGAAAATAGCCTCAATGAGGGAAAGGACGACGATGAATAAAGAAAAACCAAATTTTCCGGAGTCATTATAACAGTGACCTTCAGAAACACAGATTATTGCAGCAAGTGACAGAACCTGAAAGAAAATTGCTGCTATTAATGTAATAGAGCATTGTAAAAATGTTAAAATCATACATAAAGTTTGCAGCATTATTATTATTACTTATTATTATTTAATATCTAGCTTTCTAGGTTTCTAAACCACTTCACTTATTTTGAAGAAAAAAACTGCAAAAAATCAACATATTTTATTTTTTATTTTATTAATAAATACAAGGGAATAAAACAAAGCATAATGCACAAGTTTTAAGTTGAATTTTTTTATGTGTCAGAAACCTTTGATTTAAAATTAGTCTAATATCCCGAGTTATTTCGGCAAATGAAAAAAATTTAAATATTAGTTACAACACTAAGTGATACTTTTCAAACGTCATTGAAAGAATGCGCCATTTTTTTTACTCTTATTGCTATGTCAATTCTGCAACCATCGTATATACCAGGGGTGGCCAACCTGCGGCTCGCGAGCCACATGCGGCTCTTTGAAGGATTATTTGTGGCTCTTGATAAATGTACCCGCTTTCCTTTTTCATTCTTGTGCTATTATATTTAAAAAAGTTATTATCATTTCGTATGTGTTTCAAAATGTCTTTTAAATTACTGAGAACAAATATGAAAGACTAAGTGCAACGTTGTTCAATTCAAGGTAAGTTTTCCATTTCTAATATAATTATGACACAAAAGGCATCTGGAGAATTAGAATTAATAGTGATGCAAGAAGATCAAGCTCTACAATGAAAATATAAGTCGACGTCGATTACTGAATTTTGGAAATTTGTACCAGAATCGAAATATCCTGAATTAAAAAAGGCTGCCTGTCGAATTATTTCAATATTCGGAACAACGTACATATGTGAATCATTTTATTCCACTTAAAAATTTGTGAAATCCAAACATCGATCAGTATAAACTAACCAGCATCTCAAAGAATTACTGAGAAGTGCTGTCACCTATTATTCACCAAATTTTAAAGAAATATCAAGAGAAGTAAAATAAATGTATTTAATTTTTAATACTTAAATTCAGTACACATATTTTGTTCTTTTACTTTTTTTTATATGTTTTCAATAAATATAATTTATGTAAAAAAAAATCTTTTTAATACCTTTTTTGCATACCTTTTAAATAGGTATTTACTTGCGGCTCGCGAAAAATTTCAAATTTTGAAAAATGGCTTAACTATCAAGGAGCTTGGCCACCCCTGGTATATACAATCGCACAAAACACATGTACAGTCCCACAGTCCAACATCATAACTCCCAAATGGAACTTAGCAAACTTCCTATCACAGTAGATTATGTTTTTCGCTTCCGAGCGAGTAAAAACGTGATAAAACAAAATGTACTGACAAATTCTGCTAAGCCCGAGTTTTCTCGGGATGTTAAATATTTGCAGTACATATGTACCCGAGTTAACTCGGGATAATCCAGGAAAGCGGTTAACAACATTCTTAAATTTTAAAGTTAATTCGACCTTAATTAAAAAATGAGCTGCCTTAATAAATTAGTATTTTTATTCAATTTCCTCTGTTCCTAAAGTTAATATGGTTTTACACTGTTAGGAATTTCACAGCATATTGAACAATAGTTTTATTCAAATCTGTGGCAAATTTAAAATGGTGCTAAATTTAATTATACCTTCTTAAATTTTATTGCAAAATAATATAGCAGTTTAAAGTGAACCGAAACTTGGTTCGATTTAACACCTTATTACCGATGCAACAAGTTTGCACAAAGTTATAAATTTAAGGCAGTGTTTCTCAAAAAGTGTTCCGGTATCTGTAATATCCGGAAGTGAGAAAAAAGGTTTAGCAGTTTGGCATAGTTTTTAAAAAAATAAATAAATAAAATAAACAAAATGTACCTAAGTTAAAAATTTAGAGAAAAAAAAATTTATTTGCGTAAGACTATATTTACAATTAGAAAAAATTTCATTTAAAATTGCATCGCTGAAAATCACAACTAAAATAAATAATAAATAAACGTAAAAATATTCTTTTTACGAAAATTTATCTTTTTATAAACGTGTCTTACAATTGTGAGCCAAACTTATATTTGATTATCCTAAGTTGCTATCCAGAAATGGTGAAATACGCAACAAAAAAAAAAAACTTAAATTAACATTAAAGGTTCTATATTTCTGACCATTCTCCTACCTAAATTATTCGAACTATATTTTTCCAGATTAAGGTCAGTCTTTCTATTTTGAGGGTCAAAAATCAAAATTTGTCAGGAAAAAGAAAAAAAAAATATATTATTCAGAAAAAGTACGTTTATGTGCCTGATTTTATAACTAAAAACATCGTCAAATCAAACTGTAATAAAAACTTTCTTAGAATTCAATAAAAGTTTTTATTGTAGAGTGAAAACTTAGGTCGGTTACAGTTGTAGAAATTTTGATCTTATTTGTTTATCACTTATCATGTCACTTAACTATTTAGTCCAATACGAACATTTCAACAATAAGAAAAAATGTTGGTCAGATTAGCTTGTTGTCACATTATAGATAAACGTATATCGCTATTCTTCATGGAAAATATGGAGGAAAACTTTCTTAGAATTCAATATACGAAGACAACAATCCACCATAATCATGATGATGAAAATATAAAGGAAATAAAAATGTATGTTATTTGAATTATCTAACCTTATGTTTTCAATTATAAATAGCATCTAATTTGGACACTGTAGGTTCAAGGAACGACAAAAAAAGAACTTATAAAAATAATTAGTGTCTCAATTCGGAAAGGTCGACAGTGGATTTGAGCTAACCTTGGTTTTGAGCTGAATTTGCTCCTCCCCACGCCCTACACTCCTAGAGTTAATTACGTCTCTCTATCATTTTTTTTCTTCTTTCTTTTTCAGTCGCCAAACAAGCTTACAGCAACAACTTCCTTTTACTTTTCTCGCCAAGTTTTCTACAATGATTAAATCCACAATGGACAGCGTTTTCTGTTTAGATTATACTTCCTCGTTAACAGCTGATTTTTTTCAGCATGATTAGTCATAGCACCGGCCTCTCTTTATTCTTTTTTTTTTCTCCGTTCTCATTTCAAACAAAAAAAACAAAAAATACTTTGATACAATTATAAATATATTGCGCAATGATTTCAATTGATCATATTTTCTATTTGGAAAATATAGCAGGGCAACTTAAAAGTGATTTTTTTTTTATAATCTTAATGCTATGAAAAATACATACGAATTTTTTTAATGAAAAAAATATAGTTTTAACATACAATTTAACACATTTCTTACATACAACATATATGTGGGCCGAAGTCACATGAAAAAGAAGTAAACAAATTGCGACGCAAAGATTTTGAGGAAGCAAAGCTGGAGAACCGGTATTGTCATCGGTCAATGGCGAGTAAAATTATGTAATAAAATAACAAAACCTAAAAAAAATATACTTTCACCGTTATTAAAGACTATTCCTATTGAAATAAATATCTGAAAAAGTAAAATTTGTGGAATAGGCTTCTCATAGATTAATAAAAATAAATAGACTTTTAGCGTTATTGTTACAGTTTTACAGTTCTAATAAATGTATAAAATAGGTCTGATACAAAAAAAAATAGACTTATACCGTTATTTAAAATTGTGACCTTTGTTAAGTATTACCGTGTTAAAATAAATTTCCAAACACAGCATGACATTTTGTGAGTTTAAATTAATACAATATTATCAAATGGTTAATATGAAAATAATTTTAAAAAATAATAATAATAAATTCTACTAAAAATGCTTGCAATAGTTTAAAATGAGATCCTTTCCATGCTTTATCAAAATAAGCATGGAATAATTAAATCTGGGTTTAAACTTTCTAAAAGAAATCTTACTGGCAACAGAACGAAAAAGGAAATTTCTACTTTAACATTATCTTCACTTCATTAATCAATATCACTATAATGCCGAATCCAGAAAGAATTATCCATAAATAACAATATGTCCTTCGAACATCACCTTATAGAGAATTTATATACAATAGAACAGCTTGTTTTAAGAACAATAGATTTTTGGCACTACATTAATTTAAGAGCTGTTTAAGACAGACGCATCTAGACTCTTGGATTAAACGCAATATGTATGTTCTATTTATTTTTCTTAACTTCACTTGAGTAAATATTAAATAAATAGTTCCAGAGATATCTCACGAAAATCATAAAGCATTTTAATATTTTTTTTTCTTCAGATTTCATTTATTTATTTATTTATCATATATTTTTTTTTATTCCTCCCTATTTTACTATTTTGTTCCTTCTATTTCTACCAGCTTACTTATTCTTAAAAAAGTAGAAATAGTCTTAAAAAGATGAGAATTTGAGGTACAGAACAAAAAGAGCTATTACATACCCGGCAAACTGAAGTAACACAAGACATCCGTACAATATCCTAACCCAGAAAGCAAGTAACCTTATGGCAACATCGTGCCAAATTTTTCTTATTATTGCCACGAAAAGGTGTGAGATAAAAACCTTTTTTCAATAAAGTAAAAGTATTGCAATTTCTTGCAAATGAGTAATTTTTAAAGCGGTTTCAAATAATATTGTTGTTTAGATCAAAAAAACAAGAAAGTGGTTAACCTTTTTTTTTTTTTTTGGTCACGATAAGATACAGAAAAATAGAAAGCGAAAGACTTTTTCAAAGGAAACGAAATAAGGTAAATATAAGACTTTTTCGCAAAATTGCAATTAAATATTAAAAACACTTATGGCGATAACCTTGTTCTAAGGAAAGCAAATAAACGAACATAAAACCTTGTGTAGGAATATTTTCTAAGGTTCTGCGAAAACCTCCTCTTAAGATTTTCATGTAATTACCGAGGGAATTGAAAAAAAGTAAAGAAAATATTTTTTGTCAATAAGCTCTTCATTCCGGACTTAGCTCATCAGGAGTACCCCTCCCCCCTAAGGCCAATTGGGATATCCCTCTTAAATTTGAAAAATCCCCCTTCGCAAACAACAAAAATGCTTATAAAATTTTTATTTATGCAAAATTTTTTTGTTAAATATATCTG